AAGTAGTTTCAAAATGTTCTTACCGGTATTTTAACCCGAATTAATTTCTTTGGCTCAAATTCGGACTTAATATTCCTTTTCTCAAACTCTTCCATTTGCGACACATCAACATACCTTGGAAATTCCTAGTTTTTGAGTAAAATCCATATATTATATCTATTTTGTGAAAACCATGTGGAGAGGTACATGTATTCATCTATAGAAATTGCCCTGTGGAGACGTACAATCTTTTGTTCCCTATTGTACACACGTCTCCAGAGGGTACAGTGTATCAGATCATACGTAACGGTACGTGTACCGGTATGTGTTTGAAAAGGTTTAGAGCATACCAGAGGTGTGAATGACCACTGATAAAAAATAGCCGAAAACAGCTCAAAAGGGTGTAAAAAAAACTTTGGAAATATCTTATACTTTTGTAAACAGTCAAGTGAGAAAAAAAAAGCTGAAATCCGAAACAAAAACAGCTGAAAGCAGCTAACCCTAACCGTCCTGAGTGCTCCAATTTTAGTACGATTTTGCACACCCCCTAGCTGAGATTTCACACCCCTGGCCTACACTGTAAACGTGAGGTTTTCTGACAAAATGAGTACAGGGCAGAGGTCAAAATGAGAGTTTGTAGGTATTAGGAAAGAGAATAAATTCCCCTCACGATACTGTTTATTGGACTTCAATCAGACTTTCCCTTGACAAGTTATGGCTGTTTAAAGTTTGCATTTATTATCATGTCAATAAAGTAAAATACTGAGCAAAAGGCCTGCAAAGTTTTGAGTTTTTGCAGTCATGCAAATGAAAGTCGAAATTGTTTTTCCATAAAAAAAATGTATTTAAAGCTATAGTCCATCATTTGTAATTAGTGCATTTTGTTCGTTTGAAGCAACAAAAGTGTTCAAAATCTAATGAAGGATACTGAACAACTAACCTGATGAAGTTTCAGCTCAGCTTCATCATCAATAAAGTAGACATCATCAATAAATCTGAAAATTGACAATAGGCCTATTAACCCCCATTTAGTTGTTTGCACTTTTCTCCACTGGCCTGTGCCCAGTTCCCTCTCATTTTTTCCTGAATGCCTCACAAATGCACTGAGCATACAGAGCACAATTTAAGGACAAACTTGTCAGATAAACAAGAAAATCTGACTATTACGACTAGCAAAAATATACTTTGGAGACTAAGGCCAAAAAAAAAAAGTCTCCGGTTTCTGGTATGCGCCCGCGTCGCCGTAGACATGCGCGTCGGCAAAATGAAAAAGGTTTTTTTTCAATGAAAGATGATGTCTCAAAACCGCCAAACTTACTGGTTTGACTGGAATCCTACTGCTGCACAATTTTAACGTGTTTTTAGATTGGGTTATGGTCAAGAATAAGCTTTGTGTGGCCTCTTTGGACTCCCATATATTTGCACTAAGTTTAGTCGGGCACCATTTGCAGTCATCAGCCGACATTTGAAGCAAAAAATCAGGTAAAAAAAAAAAAAAGCCGCGTTGCCGCACGACTTTTTGGGCAAGCTCCATACCAGAAACCGGAGACTTTTTTTTTTTGGGCCTAATGATACACGAAGTTTGTACCATTCAATGCATAACATTCTCAATACCATGACACGTTTGCACGTGATCGAGTCAGAGTGCACACAATATTTCCTTCAATTGCTTCCCTTCACGGTCTACTGACAAAGAAAGGCACAAATAAATATTGGCGGTATGCCAACATTCAGTGCAACAATTGCCCCAAAAAATCACTTTCAAACAAACTTAAGCCTCATCCAGAAAAAAAAATGGCAAATTTTTCCAAGCTCCAAGAACTTCTTTGTATGTCTACTAAATTTCTACAGCATTGACTGATTACTCTCCAACAAGTGTTCGCACGAGCTCGCAAAGCCTGCACACAGCTTCCAAATTGAACTATGCCCGACACCGAAATCCTACTTCTTAATAAGAATTACTTCAAGGAATGACCCAAGAATAAGTACAACTGACCCAAGAATAAGTACAACTGACCCAAGAATAAGTACAATTGACCCAAGTGAAATGGACCTTTAAGCTTGAACTTGAACTGCAGGGCAGAAAAAGTACAGGTTAGCTGAGGTCAAGGAAAAAGTGCACCATCTCCAACTAAATATACAGATAATTAAGACAGTCTTTCTCAAAATGAACAACGCAAGACGCCAATTTCTGTGAGCTTTAGAGTTTGTCAAATATACTGTGATTATATTTTTTCGTCTTGTGCGGAGACGAGCTATGCAGGCTTGCGGGTTTTTGATTTATTTTTATGACTGGACAAGGCCACGCTTTTATTTGTTTCCTCCAATTAGGCTTCAATTGAGGGAATGAGACAGATGAATTTAATATCCTGAGTTTGGGAGGGCAGGCGCCGCGGCGAAGTGTCAAGTCCGCTGGGGTGGGTTTCCTGAGCAGAGGGAGAATGGCCGTGGGGCATTTGGTCTCAGGCTGGGGGGGGGGGGGGGGGGGGGGGGGGGGGGAGGGGGCGGTGTGGGGGAGATCAGAGAGGGGGGGGGGAGACTGTGTGAAAGGGGGGGGGGAGGGGAGTGGTTTGGAAGACCAAAAGAGAAATAGAGTCCAACAATTGCGTGGGGGTTCTTAATATCAACAAGTCCAATTGTCTTGTGATTTTACCTTCTTAAAATTATAATTTTTGAGATTCACAAGGCCAAAAAAAAAAACAATGCTGTGTTTCAGGTAATCTGACTGACCCTAAAAATTTGGGGGTTTGGTAGATCGGCAGTAAAAAGTTGTTTTATTTTTTGTTTTGTTTTTTATTTATTTCATTGTTGGTCTTTCTTGTTTTTGGAAATTTGTGATAAAATACCCCAAATACAAGTCTTAAATTACGCACCGTGTGCATATTGCAGAATTAATGTTAACTGTAAATGCATGCGTTATACTGTTAACAAGGTAGGGGAGTCAGGTTGGCGTAGCGGTATTTCCTCGCCTTCCACCGCTGTGACCCGGGTTCGAATCCCGCCTGGGTCAATATAAGGATTGGGTTTTCAGTCCCCACCTGATTACGTGGGTTTTCCTCAGAACATTCGTCTGGGGTTTTCCTCCTACCTGTAAAACTGTAATTTCTTCACATTGTCTTCTCTTTACTGGACCCCATGGGAGACCAGTGGATTGATCGAGTGAATGGGCCACCCGGTTAAAATAAATTCTTTAGTCACTGTACAGCGCCCAAAACCGCCCTGCCTAGCCAATTTTAGATTTCATTTGCGCATACATGTACATGTGCCAACTCGCCTTGACGACCATATTTTTGGATAATAAGCAAGCCTAGTCTGCAAACACACGTTTTGTGCGAACGGTTTTCCCACTTACATGTAGCTTGGATTTCTTCACATTCAATGCTGTAAAATGGTGATTTTTTGGATGATAGGGAAATGAAATAGTATTGAACTACAAGTCGACCTATATTCCCGAATGCTATAAAAAATTAATAATGCCAGTAGAAAGGTGAAAACTTATGCTGTAAAATTTCAACCAGCGTACATGGTCATGTACCGGTATGTGTGTAGTACATGTTTTCACAGCTTTTAAAAAAATACAGCGCAAATATCGACACATATTTGGAGAGCATAGTTCATTAGCAAATCTTTCCAATTAGGTAAATCTTTATTGAGTTATGGCCAATTGAAAACAAGTGCCGCTTTTCACATCGGTTTGCCGTTGCGATACACTACCAACGGGGCGCCCTCACGTGGGTTTGTTTAAATCCAATTTGTATCCCACAATTCATTGCACGCCCAAGACTTTGATTTGGCTGTAGTTTCCGAGATCGTCCCAGCACTCAATGGTTTTATGGTTTCGTTGGTGAATAAACACAATGAAATACATGTACAATGTACCGGTAGTACAGGACTGTGCTAATGCCAGGTTAAACAGTTAAAGGGAATATACAACATTTGCAAACATCGAAAAATAAAACTACCAAGTTTTTACGAAATACCTTACTAGGATGTTGGTAAATGACAGTCTAAAGCATCCTGTTAAATTATGGCACCTGGTGTGAAGTCATTTTCAAGAAAATGGTATTTTTGTATACATTTCCAACGGTGGTCGGCCGACCACCGTTGGAAAAACTAACTATTTTTCAACTACTGCTCCAACTTTACACTTTTTTCAGTCCAAATTTTGTTTGCTATTGGTTACATGTTCATGAACGGGTGCAGGCCAGCTAGACTGGTTCCCTTACCTTACAATTTTCCAGCATTTATAAATTGATCCATTTTATCTTTAGTGGAGTCAAGGAACCAGACTACTTGAACATTTTTGTTTTTCTTGGTTTTTCCAGCATTTTCGAACACAAAACTTCAAACATGTCAGTGTAACAATATTTGATCTATTATACTAACCCCTCAAATAGTTCATTTCTGAAAATTACAGCAAAAGCCAATGATGCACATTCCCTTTAAATCAATAAATAAATGAATGCATCACACAAGTATCGCATGCAACAACAACAAAACTTTTCAAAAATTAAAATGAAGAGGGAAACAATGAGATTTTACCACCCACCCACCCACCGAGACAAGTTATTTTGGAAAGAATGTTGCAACCTGACGCCACTTTTTTCTTCATGAAAAGAAAATTTTCTTGACTCTCCACACTACTGCTGAAGTGGTGTCTAGTCTGGACATTTAATACATTCAGACAGTCTTTCCACAGCACAGTGAACATGGTAAAATTACACTTTTCATTACATTTATTTATCAAATTCACGTGCTTTCCAATCATTATCTCACCTGGTACCTGCAGAATTGGTCAAGTATGACTATGAATATGAAGTATCATTGTCAAAAGCTGTGATTATTTTATGGATTCCGTTCACGTGACACTGATCATCCATGCTGATACTAGAAATAGAAACGCGTACATCTACCCACAGCTCAGCTCATGCTCGGCAAAACGGTCGGAGAAAAAAACAATGCAAAAACCAAATTACAAGCTCCGAAATGAACATGCTGGGTAAAAAATGAAAGCAACATACCTTAGCTTGGTCTTGGTGGTGAAATACTGCCGGCTTTGCTTTCCTTCCGCCAAGAAAATAGTAAGAAATCTACATCAGTTGCAGCAGGCGAAACAGCTCCCACCGTATTGGTTTCTATTTTGCTACCAAACGAGGGCGCCCTGCATAATCTCAAGCGCCGTAACAAAAAAAAATACTTCCGAGTTTCACCTAAAAAAAAATATTTGTTTTTCAATTGTTATTTTCCTAGCAATTTAAAAGTTATTCACAAATTCCACCGACGGTTAGCTACTGAATTATTTCTTCACATAAAAGTTGAATTATTGGTTGCCAGTCATGCCAGATAATAATTCGGCTCTCGCAAACTAGGGCGGGTCACCTTTTTCAAGTAAAAATTTAATGAATTTAGCTTTTCCAGAGCTAGAGGGTGATACTTGTCAAATGCTTGTAGTCTTGCAGACGACCAAAATCGATTACAGTAGTTTTTCCGATTTTTTTTTTTTTTTTTTTTTTTTTAAGATTATCGGGTTTACATCTTTAATAACTGCATCTTTTCTTGTTTTTAACTATCCAAACAACAATACTCCTTTAAATGTACATGACGAATCTGTTCACACCATTTACACAGATTCGTGAAACAAGACTATCAACTAACCAGGCATTGAAAGTCCCTCCAGCCAAAAAGGAATGCTATGCCAAAAGTTTCGCTGTGAGTGGTGCGAATAATTTGGAATAATCTGCATGTATATAGATTCCTCAGCTCAGGGACATTCAAATCAGAACTAACCAAAGCAAAAATAGTGAGTGATATTTAGTTCAAAATGCGCTGATCTAGGGAGCTATATATACTTAGTTGCCATGGTATTAATTTGGAGCCGTATCGGGAATTTCTCCGTGTTTTTCCGATTTTTCTTTTTTGATTTTTTTGGGTGGGGTTTTCGCCCATCCCGTGATCAGTAATTCATGCCTTATATTTAAATGTTTAAAATATGTACAATGTATTTAGCTTTTGTTTAATAATTCTGGGATATATACTAAATATTAATGATCGTGGTATGTTTCACCAATATACTTTTCCTTACGAATTTAACTGTTTCAGTACTTATAATTATTAATAATTTGTTATATTATGCAGGACCCCAATGGAAACCAGTTTTTAACTGTTTGGGCATACCCTGCATGCATGGGCGTCGCGAGGGGGGGCACTTGCCCCCCCCCCCCCCTGGAAAAGGAAAAAAAAATAGAGGCACAAAGGCCAAAAAAAAAAGTCTCCGGTTTCTGGTATGCGCGCGCGTCGCCGTAGCCATGCGCGTCGGCAAAATGAAAAAGGTTTTTTTTCAATAAAAGATGATGTCTCAAAACCGCCAAACTCACTGGTTTGACTGGAATCCTGCTGCAGCACAATTTTAACGTGTTTTTAGATGGGGGGTATGATCGAGAATAAGCTTTATGTGGACTCTCTGGACTCCCGTACATTTTGCACTAAGTTTAGTCGGGCACCATTTGCAGTCATCAGCCGACATTTGAAGCAAAAAAGTCAGGTAAAAAAAAAAAAGCCGCGTCGCCGCACCACTTTTTGAGCAAGCTCCATATCAGAAACCGGAGACTTTTTTTTTTGGCCAAAGACAAAGTGGTGTTAATTTAATGAGTTGGGGAGGGGGGGGGGGGGGCAAAATGTCCCTGCCCCCCTCTAAAACTGATAAATTGAGAATGTGTGGAGAAATACAATCATTTTTTGGCCAATTTTTTTTTGCCCCCCCTCTAGAAAAAATCCTGGCGACGCCCATGCCTGCATGTGGACTAAATCTCGTACGCATCGATAATAATTATCATAAGGGAAAATTCCCTCTTCAAAATGTAAAAGCCAGATTTGTTTTTAAACGGCAAGATGTTTTATGGTAGATTAAAAAAATGGCAACTAAAATATAGCTTGTTTTGAAACGATTTACTATAATGCAGTTTTGCAACTGCCCATCACTTGCATTATCGTATAAAAGAAATCTTAGCCTCAGTAAAAAAATCCCAACTTTCTTTTCGCTTTTTTTTTTGCTAGTTTGAACAATTTAATAATTTGACAATAGTAAGGATATTAAAGATATACTGTAAGTGTAAGTGTTTATAAAATAAAAAAAAAAATGTAATGCACGAAATATAAATATTATAATCATGGCGAGTATGATGATTTTGAGGGTGAAATTGGTACAAGGTAATTGAGAGATCGTCATCACAATTATTATTAATAGGCCTAATACTTCAATCCTTTCGCCATGAATAAACCAGACTCGCTAAGCCCAATCAACTTGTTAATGTACTGCCGGGTGTCAACGATTACAGAAAAACAATCCACATTATGATCACAGTTAATGACCTGATGAGTCAGGTTACGTGGTGATGGATGAGTCATTCATTTCATATCATTATGATCGCATCACTAGTGCGCGCGAGCTTTTACCAAACCTCGGCTTCCGTTTGAGCTCCGGCTCCGCGCAATACAGCATTTTCAGGCCCTGGAGATGTTCAATATTGAAAGGTGTACACTTTTATGTTTCGAGAACATCGAATACTCAAATATCAGATATAACCTTGAAGTGTTTTTACTTAAAATGGTCGTGTGGAAAAAAAAAGGATTTGAGTGCTGATTCGAAGTTTGTTGCCGAAGCCGAGCTCAGAAGTGGGTTTAAAAAGGAGGTGTAGTGTCCTAAAGGGGCGTGCCTGTCGCTGGGGGGAGGTCCTAGAGAAATATGACAAAAACCCTCCGGTAAATGGCGCAAATATTATATTCAAGTTGAGAATATTTTGGAATTTATCAAATCATTTTGATAATACTCTTTGCCCGGCCTCCTATCATACTACCGAGTAGCTGTAAAAAAAATACCACCACGCTAGTTACGTGTTATTTTACAAAGCCACACATACTTCCACGTTTCTCATTTTACATTCAACGACGATAAAAAAACCCGGAAAAATACGTGTCAATTGCTAAATCACCAAACAATATCAGAGGAAAATACAAAGAAATCACAATTTGCAAACTGGAAGAAACTTCACTTTATTATTCAAAGTGCCATTTATGAGGTGTCCTTATATGGTGCGATTGGTCACGACTCTGGCTTTTGATTGGCTAGATTTTTTAGCCCGTAGGAAAACGTCACAAATGCCCGGATGTCCGCCATCTTGGAAGGAATCGTACGTGAAGTGGTTTTCTTTCGAGTTTTGGGCGCAGGTTTCTCATTATTTACTCCGGGCAGCATCATCTGAATAACAATGGTAAGTCGCAGATGCCCTTTTCTGTGTTCGATGTGCTCTAAAACAAAGTAGTCCGTAAAATAACTGAGCAATTTGCGCAAATATCGCTGCGTTTTTTGCGAATGGGCTCCGCCCGTGGCATCACCGACCTGAGACGATAGAGGGCGCCATTAAATTCGTCAAAAACACGGGCAATGTCCGGTGTTTTTTAACCTAAAATGTGTGGAATATGAGGATTTTAATGGAATAAAATCATCTCCCCGTGCAATAAAATTGGTTATTAATTACCCCTATACATGGAGTAAGTGGAAAAACGTTTGATTCTTTACAGAATCATAAAAATAGTCGAGACTCAATACCCTTTTCCACCATTTTTTTTTTTTTTTACATGAAAATGAATCATGCAATGTACAAATGAGGGTGGGGCAAGGCCTGGTTCGGCGAATAAACAACATAAAACACAGGGACATTTAAATATATGCAATAACTAGCAGTACATTGTACCAACAATGTTGCTTTAGACCAAGGTTCTGGTACTTAAACCGTACACAACTCACTAGTAAACACAAACTTAAAAAAAAAAAATTAAGATAAAAAATATGAACAAACAACCAACACTCGACCCCTCCCCCTTTTAATAAAACAAATTGCAATTTCAGCAACAATGTACAGGAAACAAGGAATCAATCTGTCACTTAATTTTCTCATTTTCTGAACAAGATCACAGAAGTTGCTGTGTGGTTATTTTTTTGGTTGCTGCAACACTAGCTCAACTCAAGAGTATAGTGGATTTTTAGATGCGTGGCCTGGCCAAAGACCAAACTCATTCAAATAAATATTTTTCTGGACTAGTCGATGTCCAGTGATTTCTGTACTTAATTTCAATGATTCCTGATAATTATTTTGTGGAAAGTACCTTTAAAATTTTGACCTTTAGTTCCATCATGGTGGACTGTCATCCACTTCCTGGTTCTGTTAAAATTTATTTCCTCAATAGAAAATGTACAGTGACTGTGAATTAGCTTTGGTGTTTGTGTCATGTTCCCCTTAGGCCCTAGATATCATTGTGGGTTTCATTTACAGTTTTTCAAAGACAGCAAGGCAACAAAGATTGAAATTATTTACAAGATTAGTTCCTTAAATCAATTCTTTGGTTTCAAAGTAATTCATGACATACTCGTCTGAATACTGTACATGTACGTTCATGACATACATTTATTGAACATGTTTTTCTTTGTAAGGAAACAAAAACAAATGGTAACGAGCTTAGGAAAACACAAGTGACGAAGTAAAACAGGAACTTTGTTGAAGTGTATTTTGATATGTATGCACTTCCTATGGACTTAACATGTTGTACATGTAGGGTACATGTACATGTTTGTGTACATGAGCATGCACATTTCTGCAAAAAATAATTGAAGCATAGGGGTGTCGTTTACGGGTAGTATTGTAAGTAGATGCCTGATTGGGGGAAAAACAAACATGGGTATTCGGGTATCTGTTAAAGAAAACCAATCCCAAAGTTCAAATCTCGGAAGTTGCTGTTCAGATTGTTCATAAAGGTCTGTACATAATACTACCACAATACAGCATCAATACAGCAAGATACAAGTGTGTACAGTGAGCTATATAGCTTTACGGTGTAAAGTGTAACTTTCGCGAGCGTCAGGAATGTGAAATATGTTTTGTTTTCCCATGTAGCCTGGTTTTCATTTTGAAAAGTTCCCATGAATGGCATTCAAAACCTTTCTTTTTCATTGTCCGAGAAGTTAAAGTAATTTGTAAAGTTGGTTACGGGTACCCGATCCCATTATCTGGAACCATTTCCAAATATCAATGCACAGCCAATATTACAGCATCTTTTTGTCCCTTTCCCCGATTTACAACTTAAAGGAATCAATATTCTTCATATTTGTGGACAGAGGTTTATTTTTCTGAAAAATGCACGTCAATGTTTGTGTACATTATCTCTACAGAGTTGAACAGCCATGTTTATGAATGGTCTACATTTTCAAAAACCTTGGACATGTCCTTGGTTGAGTTTTATTGTCCACCTTTAAATCACATATCGTCACTTCCCGGTGCATAATTCTGAAGAAATTAATTTGAAGTAATTAATTTAATATCATGTGCTTAGAGTCGTAATCAGTCACAACGTGATGTGGCCAAAAATTATTATTATTTTGGCAAAACTATCATAACTTCATCACTTTGTGGTGCATCCAGCATTTTATTTTTTTTTGGGGGGGGGGGATGGGAAGGGGTGGGAGGGGGTTACTCAACTTCTCTCAGTCTGGAAATGAAATACATACATGTACATGTTTTAATGCAAATTAACATTGTACATTTTGCTGCCTTTTCTTTTCCTTGTCAGGGTGATCTGGACAGACAGCTGGACTGTGCCTTAGACTTGATGAGAAGGCTTCCACCGCAAGAAATTGAGAAGAACCTCAGTGACCTTATAGACTTGGTAAGCGTGGTGAAGACCAATTTGCGTTGGGTCAGCGCAGAGACTAATGGGGGCGCTCTTTAGGCATCATGCAAATGGGGGGCGGGGCTGATATTTCACTGATGGCAACTAATGAACTGAATGGCGCTCGTACATCTGTGTTTCGGGGCTGGAGTAGGGCTGGAACAGTGAAAAGACTGATTTCGCTAAGTCATGACCCATGATGTTTTTAGCCAATCACGGCCGTGACTTATGTCCGACATGCGTACACAAATGTCTGACCTGAATGCATTTGCATATGGCATGCGCGTCGGTAATGTGAGATTGACTTCTGATCGACTAACGATGACTTGAGATTGACATGTGCTTGACTTGTGACTGATATGCAGTTGGCATGTGGTTGACTCGTGATTAACGTGATGGACGTGTGATGACTTGTGTGATGACTTGTGTGATGACTTGTGTTTGACTCGTGTTTGACTCGTGTTTGACTCGTGTTTGACTCGTGTTTGACTCGTGTTTGACTCGTGTTTGACTCGTGTTTGACTCGTGTTTGACTCGTGTTTGACTCGTGTTTGACTCATGTTTGACTCGTGTTTGACTCGTGTTTGACTCGTGTTTGACTCGTGTTTGACTCGTGATTGACTCGTGTTTGACTCGTGTTTGACTCGTGTTTGACTCGTGATTGACTCGTGATTGACTGGTGTTTGACTGGTGTTTGACTGGTGTTTGACTCGTGATTGACTCGTGATTGACTCGTGATTGACTCGTGTTTGACTCGTGTTTGACTCGTGTTTGACTCGTGTTTGACTCGTGTTTGACTCGTGTTTGACTCGTGTTTGACTCGTGTTTGACTCGTGTTTGACTCGTGTTTGACTCGTGTTTGACTCGTGACTGACTCGTGACTGACTCGTGACTGACTCGTGACTGACTCGTGACTGACTCGTGATTGAGTTGTGATTAGCTTGCGATGATTTGTGACGACTTACAACTCTTGTCTTTGACACATGTGCTGTACTTTTTAGGTACCGGATTTGTGTGAAGACCTCCTGTCGTCCGTGGATCAGCCCCTCAAAATCGCCCGTGACAGCTCGGCAGGCAAAGACTACCTTCTGTGCGACTACAACCGAGATGGGGATTCCTACAGGTGGGTAGGGCAGAAAATGGGGGGGGGGGAGGGAAGGCTGTATTAAATTCACAATGATTCACAATGACATTTGTTAATAAAAAAAAATCATTTCACTCACCGGATTTACGGAACATTTCTTTCAAAATCAGGTCACCGTGGAGCAACAAGTACGACCCGTCGCTTGAAGACGGAGCTGTCCCTTCGGACAAGCTGCGCAAACTGGAGATAGAAGCCAACATTGCCTTTGATACCTACAGAGACTTGTGAGTAAAAAAGAAATCTCCCACAAAACCCTGACGGAATATTTATTGGTAACACAGGGCATTTCTTCATAGAATCAATTTGGGAGTGAATCTTGAAAACATCACTTATGGCGCCTGACGCTCACGTTAACGCAAAGACGATACAGGTTTGTGTGCATTCAGATTAACGTGCGCACTTCGCGCCATACGCATGCGCACATGTATGCGCGCATGCAGTGTGTCCATCCCATTGGGGCTTCAAAAGTGGTCGCAAAATGCCGTCTACTTTTCGTAACCCTTCCCGGATCCTGGAAGGGTTTTTTGTTTTGAAGTAATTTTTCTGAACCAGATGTAAGTGGCACCTTTGTGCTCTCTCTCCAATGCTGCAGGTACTTTGAAGGGGGCGTGTCTTCCGTCTACCTGTGGGATCTGGACCACGGCTTTGCCGGGGTCGTCCTGATCAAGAAGGCTGGGGATGGGTCGAAGACCATCCAGGGATGCTGGGATTCCATTCATGTGGTTGAGGTCCAGGTAAGCTATGAGTTTTGTTCGTCACAAGTTAGTTACAAGTGGATCAAAAGTGGATCACAAGCCATTCGCGAGTAAATCACAAGAGAGTCTGAAGTCAATCACAAGACAGTCGCAAGTCAATTGCAAGACAGTCACTCGTCAATCACAACAAAGTCGCAAGTCAATCACAAGACAGTCTCAAGTCCATCACAAGACAGTCTTCAGTCCATCACAAGACAGTCGCAAGTCAATCACAAGACAGTCACTAGTCAATCACAAGACAGTCACTAGTCAAGCACAAGACAGTCGCAAGTCAATCACAAGACAGTCACTAGTCAAGCACAAGACAGTCGCAAGTCAATCACAAGACAGTCACTAGTCAATCACAAGACAGTCACTAGTCAATCACAAGACAGTCACTAGTCAAGCACAAGACAGTCACAAGTCAATCACAAGACAGTCACTAGTCAAGCACAAAACAGTCGCAAGTCAATCACAAGACAGTCACTAGTCAAGCACAAAACAGTCGCAAGTCAATCACAAGACAGTCTTCAGTCCATCACAAGACAGTCACTAGTCAATCATAAGACAGTCGCAAGTCCATATCAAGTCAATCACAAACACATGTATCACAAGTAGATCAGAAATAAATCAAAATTCAATCTCAGGCCAATCACAAGGAAATCACAAGTTGGTGTCAATTCACAAGCGAAACAAAGCCAATCTGAAGTCAATCTTGAGTCGGTTTCAAGTTGGTCTCACGTATATGGCAGGTAAATCACAAGTCCATCTCATGCCAATCACAAGTCAATCGAAAGTTGACATAGCTGTGTGGGCGTGCTTACTACATCAACTACATGTATGCAAGTTTTCTCTTGTAGTTAGAACAAGCCGTTCTTCTGACCATTAATTATGACTACGACAGTTGTCCTTAGATTTGTACCAAAACAACAACTGACTATTCCAATTATAATAATAAATATTCGGTAGTGGCAAGTAAAAATTGGTAGTGAATATTTTGTTCATTTATTTTTGGTTTCAGGACAAGTCAAGCGGCCGCAACGCACACTACAAGTTGACGTCCACTGTCATGCTGTGGCTACAGGTAAGCGACACAAAATATTTTTCCAATTTTGTTTTTGATCACTTACCGACTTTAATTTTGATGTACCAAGAGATTTAAAGATTTTTGAAATGATATTGAAGAGATGTACGACATTTAGAGATGTCGGCAAACCCTCGACGTGATTTACAATTTTGTATTTGTGTTCGCAACAGACCAACAAGAGTGGTTCGGGGACGATGAATCTGGGCGGGAGCCTGACGCGACAGGCGGAGAAAGATTCTGCCGTGAGTGAGGCCACGCCCCACATCTTCAACATCGGCAAAATGATTGAGGTATCGTACCACAAGCTCCGATAATTTTTTCCCAAACGGTTGAACCGATTGCCGCTTGTAAAGGAAACAAGATCACGCCCCATTGCATTGCAAAATTCGCGGTCGTGGAACCGCTGCGGGTTGTACCGCTTGGTACTTGTTTCTAATTTACGTTTGAGCTGCAGGGGCGGCAGACATGTTTTGTTAACTTTTTCTTGCTGCTCGCAGACGCTATGAAGAACAAATTGGGTTTGAAATTCCGTTACTAAATTTTTGTTTGTACAATATCAAAAAGTACATGCACGCGAATGAATCTTGCATTGATTTTTGTGCCGAGTAAAATCACCGTTTATAATTTGCATCTTCATTTTTTAAGGAAATGGAGAACAAGATGAGGACTACGCTCAATGAAATCTACTTCGGAAAGACAAGAGATATCATTAACGATTTAAGGTGAGTGACCGTTTTAATTATGCGCCACGATAACCAGATATGCTGTATAGCAAACTGCTGAATCAATTTTTAGAAAACATATTCACGCTTCGAGGGTTCCGTCATGGATTTTAAAAATCACAACATAGGGATAAATTTTTTTCTCAAAAACCCTCAGAAAACACTAAGTGTTAATGAAATGGTGGTGTAAGGCAAAACCCATTATTAAAAAAAAATCGTATTTTATTTGTGTAATGTTAGGAGCGTTGGTAGCTTAAACGCCATGGATCAACAAAAGCAGATAGCCAACGAATTGATAAAAAACTTCCAGAGTCGCCAAAAATAGGTACGTCATCCCCCCCTGAACCAGCATCATCCATGCGATTTATGTTATTACACTCGATAAGTCTGTAAGAGAAGGGGGATTTTAGGGGTGGAGTTAGGGGAGGGGTTTATGGACATGAATATGCATTGGCCATCTAAATTGCGCACCGACGATTGAGGGCGTATATATCAACCTTGGTGAACACCACAGAATTGTTTGGGTTTTTAAAAATATTTTTTTGTTTTATGCACAAATACTGGTTTAGGGGATGACCTATTTTTGGCGACTCTTGAGGTTTTGTAAGAACCAAGTTTTAGTATACATCTCTGTGCTTAACCAGTTCATGTCGGAGGCCGTGTATACACGCAAAGGTTTCGCGGTATTCGGAACGGATGACGGATAAACACACAACGAGCGGGGCCGGAAATATCTGTCAAGTGACCCGCTCGCAGCGAGCAAGGCCGGAAATATCAGGGTGTGCTACCCGCAGATGACGGCCTGAACCCGTCTGGCATCGAGTTTTGTGAAAAACAATTCCGCGCCTGGGTCTGGTCACTGTCAAAATAATCCCGGCGCGAAGTGGTTAAAGGGTTCCATCATGAAGGGCAATAACCCAATATTACACAATTTGTTTTTTGTCAGGAGCGTGGGAAGCTTAAACGCCAAGGGTCAACAACAGCAGCTAGCCAAGGAATTGTTACAAAACCTCCAGAGTCGCCAAAAATAGGTGCGTCATCCCTCCTAAACCAGCATCGTCCTTGCGATTTATGTTATTATACTCGATAGGTCTCTAAGAGAAGGGGGATATTAGGGTGGAGTTTCAGAAAGGGGAGGGGTTTATGGATATGAATATGCATTGGCTATCACATTTGTGCACAGACAGTGAGGGCGCTATTGATCAACATTGGTGAACACCCAATTATTTTTTTGAGGTATGATTTTTTTATGCATACGCTTCGTTTTCAACAGATGTTAAATTGCCGACACTGAATACATGTTTCTGTTGGTTTAAAACAATTCAGAGGGGATTTTATCAAATTTTCAAACAGTTTTGGAGCAATTTTGGGTTTGGAAGATATATATTAGTTGTTTCATGAAAGGCTTGTATTTATTCATTTTTTATATACACATACCCCACTGTCACATGAAGGCTAAAGTTTCACTATAAAAATTGTATTTACCTGTAGGAATATGAGAGAAAAAATTGGCAGTAGAACAAATGATTTAGAATTCATTCCAAGCATTGAAAACGATACTTCTTTTAAAATTTACATTTTTGAGTAAATTTTTTTTTCGTAATGCCTTTCAATTGCCTTTTACAGGCTTGCAAAAAAAAATATGGTTAATTGCATTACTAACTCGTTATTAAAGCCTTGTGTTTATATTATTAACCGTGTAAATGTAGAAAGGAAAAAAAAATCATGTGATTTGAAGATCGTTTTTTGTTTACCAAAAAAAATATGGATTAAGAAAGTGGATATTTAGTTTAATTGTGTATTTTGCGCTCTCGATCCTAGAGTAAAATCGTTTCCTTTTTTTTTTTTGGATGAAAATTGCAATGGAAAAAATTATGGCATGTGTAGGTCTATATTTCTTCCAAATGAGGGAAAGTGGTACAAAAAAAATATAATATTGCTAGTATCTTGCAGGAAAACCAATGAGGAAATATACATGTACTGGTATTGTAACCCATTATGGCCTTATGAATGACTTTTGGTTACTTATACTACATGTACTGCACTTTATGATAAAGCGAACGACAAGTTCCAATTTTGCACTGTATTTCAATGCGTTGTAAAATGTGTTGCATGTTTCTTGCAAAGACTTAAGTTTGTTAACCCTTGCGTTGATTGAGGGCTTACACATGCTTTTATATTGTTGTTTCGGCTTCAATTTCATTGCAATGCGCAGATCATGAGAGTTTTTGAAAAAAAAAAGAAACATTCGCTTTACAATGAATTAAGCAGTACAAAGATTCAGCAAAAATATTGCAAAAACATTTCTTGAAGAAAAACTGTCCCAACACTAAAACAAATTCATTTTCACTGCAGTTGTATTTTAAGCAGAACACTTCTGCTGAAATTTACATTAATTTTGAGACCTACTTTTGAATAGTGCCGTGCAAACTGGTCCTGTAGTTTTGGGGTCAGATACGAAACAAATCTTTCAGATAATGCACGACAAATTCCGACACCTTTATTTTCTGTAGTAAAAGGCTTTTTAAACTTTGCAATGTCAACTTACTATTAGGGCTGTTCATTTCGGATAATTCAGTATCTGTTTACTCGAAACTGCGTTCGACTGAATATTCGGATATTTGAAACTGCCACCTGTAGGTGCGTGCTGCGCTGGTAAATAATTGCATGCAGAGCGCGTGAAAATTTGCGTGCGGCGATCGATATGGGGCACTGGAGTGTTTTGCAGCAAGTAGTTTATAAAGTTCCGTCAAGGGCTTTAACCTGCTGAAAGGATGTGAACAATGTACCGTCGTTGACAAAAAAAGTTACTGTCGACAAAAAAGTGGCATAAAGCGTTGCAACTTTACGATAATATAGCATCACAGTCGTGTGTATGTGTGTAGTTGTTTTTGTTTTCAAATATTTGGTTGAGGCTCGAATATTTGACTATTCGGTATATTTAGGACGGCCCTACTTACTATACATTTTCTGTTATGCGTACCACATCTCGGATTCGGTTATGGGTTAAATTTCTTTTGCGTTGCAGTGTAGGGTTTAAATATTCACAGAGCATTTTGCGATATGTAACATTGATTTTTGTAAAATACAGTCGAGTCTCGTTAATACCAACTCGTTCGGACCTAGCCAAGTTGTTTGTTATATCAGAATTTTGTATTAAGAGGAACATCAGTCCCATTCATTGTGTACATAAATGCACAGTCGGGACCAAGGCTTTATGTTTGTTATAACCAGAATTTGTATTAACAGAGTTTGTACTAACGCGAGTCGACTGTAACGGTTACACTTTCCCAACATCAGGGCTGTAGAAACTGTAAAATATTGCTTTTTTTTTTAACTCTGTGTTTTTTTTGCCGATATACTAGCCTGTTTATTGTAGCATTACGCATTTCAAAATGGCTACTTTGTGCAAGATAAACAAGTCATTGTAGATTCTGCCAACAAAATCTATCCGAAACTTTGCAAATTTTCAACAATTTATGTAAAATTGTAATATCGTTTGCGTTTTAATTTTTGCAAAATTTAGTTTTTTATTTGAAGTATCTTTCAGAAAGATTCCTGTAATAAATATTATGAGTGTAAAAAAAAAACAGCAATGACAACAAGGAAAATTTGATGACGTTTTGCAAAACTGTTTTGTTTAAAAAATTTTCATGTTACTCAAAAAAAGAGTCAAATGGGATGACAACTTTTTGTTATAAATAAAGGAAAGCAAACCAAACGAAATGTGTTCTCATTTATGGATTTGTGGTGTTCTTTTTTATTGAAATTATTACAAAAATTGGCTACTTGCAGTGGATATTTCTTTTTAAAAATTAAGTACATTTATTGCAAAATATATGACAAATTATCTGTTGGGATACTGATTTTCTGTGGGGACAGGGTATAAATTAATTTGAAAAATAGTGCATTAGGAATTTAATTGAGCCTTTTTTTAACCTGAAAAATCAAATGTTTATATTACAAAATATTGGCTACTTGCAGGGGATATTTCTTTTTAAAAATTAAGTACATTTATTGCAAAATATATGAAAAATTATCTGTTGGGATACTGATTTTCTGTGGGGACAGGGTATAAATTAATTTGAAATATAGTGCATTAGGAATTTAATTGAGCCTTTTTTTAACCTGAAAAATCAAATGTTTTTTAACCTTACAATTTTTATCTCGTAAGATATCTCGACTTGAGAAAATTTTTGTTGGCCCTTAACCCTCCTATGCAAACATTGTGTGCCAAGTTGTCCTTTCAGTCAAAATCAAACAAGTGACTGTTTTCAACAGTTAAGAATTCCCAGCCTACATAAAAAGCAGGATTGACTGGCTGTGACTGTTTATGTAACCTGATACAGCTATGCTTTGACTCGGGGTGAGTGATAAAACAGCTGTGACCACAACTTGCCTGCTTTGTCTGTTGACCCAGTTTGACTAGTCACAGTGCTTGCTTAACAAATGATCTGACTGCTGGTGACTAGCCTTTGTTAAAAGTATAGCAGGGGAAGTGGAAGTGAATTTTGACTGTCTGTGACTGTTTAAATAGCAGGAGGATTAAACCAGCTAAGATTCAAAGCCGTGGTATTAAAGGGCTCTGTGGTACGTACTATATAACTCTTTTCTGTCGTATATGTAGGTCTATGACATCCCTATTACAACTACATGTAAATTTATGTCAAGCAATAACTAAATCCTGTTACAAACTGCAATATTTTGTCAACAAAATAAACTAAATCTCTCAACTACTTGCCTGAGGAATGGAGAAAATTCAGACTTCGACCAATTCTTGCAAGAGATTTCATTTTCGAGTTCTGGTCACGTTGCTACATCATTTTTAGATCGCAACTTGTTCAATCTGTTATTCATGCCTAGAAACAGTTAATCAAGCAAAAAATATTTATAATAAAAATAGTTCTAAACAATATTTAAGTTCATACAAAAAGGCCTTTGACCTCTATAGTTTTAGTAGTAATTCATTTTGTATACTCTGCATATGGGATGCAATCAAGCTAAATGAGTCGTTTGTCGACCCTGGTCAATTATTTTTTTTTTAACAGATTTGAAAAGAGCACAATCTCAGCATTACTGCTGTGAAAACCGCATGCTGGTACCATCTTTAGTTCAAAAATTATGGAAGTCGGAACACCAAGAAATGTGAAGTGATGTGATAAAGTGGCCCTATTTTGGCCTGTATCTCCAAATGAAGTTCCCAACAAACGACTCATTTAGCTTGATCGCATCACATATATTTAAAGACGCATTCCCCGTGGCTATTTTGAGTTTCACCTCGAAAAATAGATTTGTTTTTCCATTGCTATTTTCCTAGCAATATCAAAGTCGTTTACTTTTGAACGAAACATTGACAGAAAAAAATCCAGTGACGTTTTAGTCATTTAAATATTTCCTAAAAAAATTCGAAATGTTGGCTGCCAGACATAATTCGGCTCTCCCAAACAGGGTTCATTTGTGCGCTAAATGAAACCCATATTTTAGAGAATTTCAGACGCCCAAAATCGGAATGAAATAGGTTTTTCGTTAAAACCAAAACATACCAACTGAAAATTTGTAAGGAGGGGAAAAAAATATCAATTTTGGGAAGAGCATGGGGTATGCATCTTTAAGGAAAACAAAAACAAAACTTGGTTTACCTTATGGTCCTAGTGAAAGAAAACATAGTTTTACCAATGCACTTCTTCTAAGGTGGAAAATGAGTTCAGACAACTAAATACAAAAATAAACATAAAACAAATCAACACAAAAATTAAGTACACAAGCTTCAAAAATTTGACAGTCATTATTTTTCACTCGTCATGCATATATTCATACATGTTTAAAAAATGAATATTTCATATTCTCATTTTCGGATAGCTAGTACCAAAAAAAATGAAATCTAATATAAAATTGTATTTTGGCATTATTTCATAAAATGAAAGGTTTAATTTTAATGCAGACTTTGAATTGGATTACTGTGTATCTAACTCACAGAAAATCTTTCTTGGAAATAATTATTGCAGTTTCGTTTCCTCATTTTGGAGCAAACTTGGCCGCGGGCAGAATCTTCTTCTGCTTGACGCATTCCCAGATCCAAGCGGGTGTGACCGCAATTTTTCCGGGTGGGGTGGCCTCCTGTTCCTATGGAAACGGGTAAAAACAATTTCAACAAAATAACGGAAAATGTCACTTTTGGTTTTGTATTAAAATCGCACTACAAACATTATATTCGATATATCGATTATCCCATGTAAAAAGTTAAAGACCATAAAGATGACACTTTGATTTAAAAAAAAAATAAAAAAACAATCTCACTTCCCAATTTTCCACGGCTTTCTCTGCAGCATATTGCTCAAACTTTTTAAAACAAATCTCAGCACTGACAGTTTGTCCAGAATGGCTGGTTTCTTTTGAGGTTTTACATTTGGGAGACCGCGAATTCCAGTGAACGCAGAGCACAAAGCGATGCCGCTTGGAATTTCGCAATTTTTTTTTTTTGAGTGACAAGCACAAGTTGCCGCCAAGTTTTATTTCATTAGACAGCAAATGTTAAACACAAAGTAAAAGCACAAATGGGACATTTATTTTGACGATAATCTGACGCATTTTCAATATCATTCCTCAATATCGAAAATGTCGGTATTCAATATGATTAAACAATTGCCATCATCAATATCGATATCAAAATAATATCGAATAATTGGGTAATATCGATATATCGACGGTGCTAACATTTAATTTTCCGTCTTTTTTTTTTAAATATGTGTATCGTCACCCTCCCCCCAAACAATTGTAGCCATTGTGAGAAACCGGTACTAAATTTGTAGAATATTTTGTTCTGCTTTGTGCATCTGGTGTACATGCAGAATGTGTTAAAAAATAATTGCTTCACACACAAAAAACTTGTTGCAAATGATATCTGTCGTGCATGACTTCCAAAAAAATATATATGTGGAGGGAATTTATGTATAACAATGTTGTTTTCTGTTAAACGACTATTTAAACGCCACCTGACATTATATTCTTAACACTTACATGAACAATTGCTTCATATTAATTTACAAATGCACATTATACACTCACCAGTATGAACACGAAACATTAATATTAAGAAGTAAAATTTTGCACAACAAAGGATATATACCCACCTCGGCCTTTTCGTCAATCACGAAGTGCGTTGCGTTTGCCTTGTTGAATTCCGTCAGCACGTCTCCGTCATACGCGACGACGTAGCGTTTCAGTTTGTAATAATCGGCGATTGTCTTCGGCATGTAAATGGACACACCAGAGAAGATGTTGGCAAGTCCCTAGAATAACATTAGCAAAAGGAAAAAAATTTGTTCAATATTTCTAATATTACAAATAAGGGTTCCTCAACGGTCCACCGTAGTCTTAGCTCGAGACTGGATTCTATTTCAAATTGGCCAGTCTATATACAATGGCATTAGTCAGAAGCTTTTAAACCTGTTTGGATCATACCCAATGTCACGATGTTGGTAGCCTTGGTCAAGGCGTTCGTCATTTTTCGTCCGTAAGCGGTTAACGATCGGCGGCATATCCTCGCTAAGCAGTGCATTCAAAATACAGCGCGAACCGCGACCTCATGCGGCCACTATTTATGCAAATCATTTGGATCCAGACAAAAGCCTTGGTTCAATCGTCCATGTGAGGTTTTGGGGTGGTGGTCATTATGCTAATAGCCTAAGCTGACCTTAAAAGTCGTTTTCTTCTTGGTTGATCATTGCGTGGAAACTTGCATACTATACATGTAGTTAGCGAACGGTACTGGCGAGACATGTACTGTACATAATACATACACACACGTTGTGTGTCGATGTCTCACATTATACACAGCACCAATGCACAAAAAATGTGGTTTCTGACACGTCCGCAAGGGCGAATAGCTGCAAATGATTTGATGACGTCATGATTTACCAAGGTGTGATTGGACACTCCACATATTAGCCCCGCCTACACTTATCTGTATTTGCATATAAGGTCGAGTGCTGGAAGTCTAGCGTAAAATAAAGAAAAACATAAGCTTTCACGGACGATTGGACCAAGGCATTCATCTGGATCTAAATAATTTGCATAAAATAGTGGCTGCATGAGGTCGTGATTTACCAAGGTGTGATTGGACACTCCACATATTAGCCCCGCCTACACTTATCTGTATTCACATGAGGTCGTGCGCTAGAAATCTAGCGCAAAATAAAGAAAAATATAAGCTTTCGCGGACGATTGGACCAAGGCGTTCGTCTGGATCCAAATGATTTGCATAAAATAGTGGCTGCATGAGGTCGCGGTTCGCGCTGTGTTTTTAATGCACTGCACAGCGAAGATATGCCGCCGATCGTTTACCGCGTGCGGTTGAATAATGACGAACGCCTTGACCAAAGCTACGATGCTGGCAGCATCAGCAATGATGAAGAGCTGGGAAATAACAATCAGGGAACACTCAGAGAAAATGTGTCTTTGTTTTGGTTAGATTTGACACGATTTATGGTTCTACACACCTTAATTGGGCTGTGCGTGCTCGGTTTTGCCGTACTGGTCGTAGCGACTGAGCTAGCCTTAGCGGGACTTGTTGCTTGTATCTACAGCACAGTAATGAAGAAAAAACAAATACAAAAATCAAAAATCCACAAAATAAAGGGATTTCTTTCAATTCCATGATCAGGTCTTGCAAAACGGATTAAAAAAAAATTCAACCTGTAAATAATATTTACAATGTTTCTGGAACATTTGTGTGGCGTTCTGGCAAAATGTGACAGAACTGGGCAGAGTTCGAAATCAGGGTTTGTGATTATTAAAAAAAAAAATATAATTCTACTGTTTGTTGCATTTCAATTGGAAGTCCCATTGAGAAATGGATTTTAAAGTTTGCATTTATCGTGATGTCAAAAATATAAAATACTGAGAAAAAGACCAAGAGTTTTGAGTTTTGAAAATGTAAGATTCATATTATTTGCCATAAAAACACTTTCATTGCACGATTTTTAAATATTTTTTTAAAAATAATGTGTAGTAGACATAACAAAGGTTACAAATATCAATATGTCTGAAAATCGAAAAAAAATTCACCCCCATTCATTTTTTGCATAATTTGTTTCTACCTCGGCCTGTGCCAAGCTCCGTATCATTTTGCCAAAACGCCTCACATTTAAAGAAAAAAGAATAAACAGTTAGATGGGTATTTAAAGTCCTTCTTAATTTTTAGGACTTGCCTATCCCATTTTGGAGAGACCTTTCAGGAAAGTGGCAGTAACTTGGTGTTGGAAGTCTAAAAATCTTGGGCAAACTTTTTCCATTGCTCTAATAATCACAGAACTGAAAATTGTCTTGTGAAACAGCTTTAAGTTTCCACAGACTTACGAGCCATATTGTTGAGCACGTTTGAGGACCAGCTTATTAAGTGACACGACCAGAAAATAATAGCAAAGCTAGATTTAAGTTTATATAAAATCAGCTGGACCCAAAAGTTTCAATTTAGGGCATTATTTATTAGGTAAAATCTCATGATGTCAAAGTACTATGTGACTACCACGTAAAATATCCGTGAATGCTTTATCAAATTTGCAGTGTTGGCTGTGTTTTACTCACAGTTTTTGCAATCCATCACAGCTTTGATAGCTTGCCCAGCTTGCCCAATACCTACCACGCGAGGAGCCATAGATCTTTGCCTACTACAATGGCGACGTTGACTTTCTGATATCCGAATGCAGGCTGGGTCATGCGTGTCAGTGAGAGAGCCATATACAATGGAACGCCGCAGTAATAAACATCGCAAGATCCACAGAAAACGTTTGTAAAAGCGATCGTTAGGTATAGCGAGTTTGAGCCGCCGGTACTTAAAATGGCATCTGTCCGTTTAAATAGCGCCCTCTTGTGCCGTACTTGAAGTGCCCCTCTTTTGACTGGATTGGTTAAGTGTTTATTTATTTCCCCTATTTTGTTATTTCGATGTGCAAAAGTATTCTTTATGAGTGGCTTTCCCCTTCTGTTTCTTGGAAAGATAACAGCCAACTATCACTCGTCAACATTCAAACACGACGTAACCGTGGTTCGTTTGGCATTCAAGAATTTAAAATAGCCTAAATAGCGTTGAATATAACCGGTAGATTGTTTGTTAATCTGTTGACTTTTTTTTCAACAACAATGTTCCGTATGTTTTGTACATTAAAACCGGGAGCCAAGGACAATGTTTGGTATCGTCGAATGTTCTGTATAACGGTGTTTGGTATAGTGGCGTTCAACTGTATTCACTACACAGTGACTCAGTCAATCAGTCAGTCAGCCTGTTAGTGACTGGATTAGTCAAAGGAAAACAGCAAACTAAATTACAAAGACGTAACTACAAAAATCAAAAAGATCTTCCAACAGACAGGACTAACCTTGGTGGGGCTAGGGCTGACTTTCTTGCTGGGCGATCCACTGTCGTCACCAGGGTGGCTGAATGTAGCTTTGTGTTGAGGGTTGGTTTGGTAGCACTGTGCTCCATACTTGCATGCTGGCTTGCCCTGTGTAAACCATATTAAAAGGAACATGAACATAGGATCATTTTCTCACATTTGAATTATTTTCATGTGTAGTGACAAACTTAATCAAATCTGAAACGTAATTTACAACATTTGCTTTTGCCGTAATATTCAGAAATGGATGGATTTGGGGGTTAGTATTTTATAGCAAATATAGTTACACTGACCTGTTTAAAGTTTTGTGTTTATAGATGCTGGAAAAACCAAGATAAAAATGCTGTTCTTGTAGTCTGGTTCCCTGACCCAGGGAACCAGACTAGCTGGCTTGCACCCGTTCACCGGTGTAACCGATTGCAAACTAAATGTGGGCTAACTAAATTTAGTAAAGTAGGGGCACTATTTGAAAAAATTCATTTTTTTTCTCCAACGATGGTCAGCCAACGATGGTCAGCCGACCATCGTTGGAAATTGATACAAAAAATTACACTTTTCTTGAAAATGACAACATGCCAGCTGCCATGATTTCACAGGATGCTTGAGACTAAAAAGTGTGTCTGCGGGCACACTTTTTTAAAACCACTCTTCAATGATTGTATTCTTTCTAACGATACCATTTCAGGTGGAATAATTGCACAGGGTATTTGGCACCACCCCTATCTTCGCTTTTATCATTATAAAAAATTTAAAATATTGTTCACCTTTATAATTATTATACATGCACCTGGTCGGTTCCCTTTGTGGTTTATTTGATTCATTTGACAAAATTGTAAATCATTTATCAATAGAAAGCGGAATACTGCTTTTTGGGATGGAAAAGGGGGGGGGGTATGAACCCATAAACCCCAATAAATTAAGTCCTGGACAACTCCAGAGTTATGTTACGTCCGTGACAGAGTTATCAAGAGCTCAGTGAATAAACCTTAACAATTTATTTTATAAATCTTCTACAGGTTCGATGTTCAGTCAAAGTTTGAAGTTCACGCTACAAACCGTTTTGAGGAAAAGTTGCGCTACAAGTTTTGGATCATTTCTCTGAATTGTTAATTAGATATCAATGGTTAACCAGTTCGCGTTGGAGGACATGATAACACGCACTGGCTGTTTCTATGCACAGGCACGGCTGAGGGGTTAAGACGTCAAAATTGCCTGGACTCGCCTTAGGGTGATGTCTAAACACGCTAATCCCTCGTGCCTTTCGTACACACCCACAAAGTCTGTGAAGTCTGTGGAGGCGGACCGTGTGTTGGCCTTGAATTGGCCGTTGTGCACGGCCTATCGTTGTACAAATTACGCTCCAGTGCACACCCCGGAGTATTGAAACATATGAGGTTTCGGCAAGAAATATCCTACAAATACTGTTGAAATGACTCTTGCGAATCAGTATTTGTGGCGTTTGGATATATATCAGAAGTTGGCTGGAAAATTTTGCCTATTGTGAAAATGGAAATTTTTGCCAAAAATATTCCCGGCGCAAAGTGGCTAACTGGCTCTATCAGGGACTTTACACTTCCTTTCATAATGCTGGAAATGCCCACGCACATAATGTCGTCTCACCTTTGAGCTAGTCGTGCCGTTGCCGTTGTCTATCTTCATCTTCTTGGCAGGGCTGGGTTTGCTCCGCTCTTCTTCCGATTCCTCATCAGTTTCTCCCTCATACTCATCCTCCTCGTCTTCGGAGACACGCTTCTTCCCTTTGTGCATCTTGGCCGTGATCTTGGTGGGCGTGGCGGTCTTCTTAGAGATCAAGTCTGGGATGTCGCTAGTCTCCTTGGATTTCTTGTACAGAGTCTGGCAGGAGAAACAAATCCATGAAAAATTACTCAGTTATTCACTTAATTTAATTCTTTTTTGGTAATGGCACCATGGGTTACACACATAGAGCTATATTAAATTACTAGAGCGCTAACTTCGTGTACAAAGTAATGCCTGCTGGGCGCATCCATGTTTGTGCACAAACCTATGGAGACCTAGATATTTTGTACGGCTTTTGTACGGCTATTTGCATATCTGCGTTTGTATTCCAAACCGGTGCGTTATCGAAGCCAATACGCCCAAAAACGAGACGCACGATCAGCAAATGAGCGTGTCATTTTGCTCTACGCAAACAGCTCAACGTGTGCGCGTAATCGCTGCAGATGCTTTTTGCCGTCAGGTTTTTTTAACCGTCAATGACGCACTTTAGTTGTTTGCGTATATTCTACTTGCACGTTGCATGTAGAGTACACTTTCAAAATTCAATCCATCTAATTTCATTATGTTCTACAAACACGCACATGAATTCAAAATGTCTGCCCCAGGATGGCTTCAAAGCGTCTCCGCGCGCAGAATGAGGAGTTAACGCTCTAGTAATTTAATATAGCTCTATGGTTGCACAGGAAGTGATAAGGCACACCATGGTAGGCATGGGTGAATCCAGTTTCTTCTTTTTTTGTTTTAGTTTAGTCATGTGATTTCTTTCTGGTGATAAACTCAACGGTTATGAAGTGCAACATTGCATTGTTGCATGCTTGGGCAAAGCCAACAACCCAGATGTATAAGTCCACCACGGTTGGAGTCGAACCTTGGCCACAGAGTTTGAAGGCAAAAAAAGTACTACTGCCCCAATCTGACTACCATAACTGCCAGATCCAGGCAATCTTTGCAGTACCTGTGTTTTTGGACAATGATGTCGGGGTAGGATGGGGATGTTGGGTGGGGGATGTTGGGGTGGGTGGGGGATGTTGGGGTGGGTGGGGGTTGTTGGTGTGTGAATTGTTGGTGTGGAGGTTATTGATGAGGGGGTGGGGTATGCTGGGGTGGGAGCAGGGGTATTAGGATGGGGGAGAGGTGTTAAGCTACTAGACTGACTGACCTTTAACCTATCCAGGTTGTTGGCTGTCTGCCAATCCTTGTCGTCCCTGAATCGACTGACCCGGGGGAAGCGAATAGAGATACCCCCAGCGGTGTGGTTGTCTGAACTCGTAAACTCCGCTCCCATGATCTCCCAGACCGGAGCTTTCTGGAATAACAAGCGAGGAAAAATTTATAGCAGAAAAATCGTATTTAAACCAAAGCTTCTGAATAAGATTGAGAATAGAACTGGAGGTGCTTGTTTTCAGGGTAGTAAGTCATCAGTGTTCATCTCCTGTAGCGTCCAGTGGCGTAGCCACCGGGGGGGCGTGGGGGGGCGACCGCCCCCCCATGAAACCTTGTCGCCCCCCCAGTAGCCCCCCCACTGAGATTTTGAGTTTCTAAAAAAATTATCATTGATCTACATGACGCCATGGGCCCTATTATGTACTACAATGTATCTTTTGCTTAGAAAATATTGGTTAAAGTGGTCAGAAATTGCCTCAGATAGCACCACAGAGCATTTAGAATCCAAAAATTTTCGGGTCCCTTAAGCGGGCCCCGAACCCCACGCCTATAGCTCAGAATTCTGGTAGCTGATTCAATGACTCCAACCTCGAAAACAATGTTCACAAAATTTTCTTATGCCTTTAGCTGAGAAAACCTCGAAAATTATGTTTAAATTATTATCTTTTGTGCTAAGATAATTATTGGTTAAAGTGGTAAGAAATTGCCTCAGATCACACCACAGAGCATCGAAAATCCAATTTTTTTTTCGGGGCCCTTAAGCGGGCCCCGAACCCCACGCCAATAGCTCAGAATACCGATAGCTGATTCAATGTCTCCAACCTCGAAAACAATGTTCAAATAATTATCTTTTGCTAAGAAAATATTAGTTAAAGCATGGAGGAAAGTCGTAAGAAATTGCTTCAAATCACACCACAGAGCATCGAAAATCCAATTTTTTTCGTGGCCCTTAAGCGGGCCCCGAACCCCACGCCGTAAGGGCTTCGCGCTTGCATCAGTTATGATCAAGGTATGTCCCCCCCCCCCCACTTTTGAGAACCGATTGACGCCCCTGCTTGACGCCCCCCCATGAAATGTTCCAGCCCCCTCCAGTGCCCCCCCACTGAAAAATTCCTGGCTACGCCACTGGTTGCGTCCCTCAGAAGCACTTATGCTCTGCATTTAGACCACTGAGGGCCAATATTGATGTTTGTAATTACACCCTGACCTCATTCCGACCTCTGAACTTTGACCTCACCTTGGGATCTTTGACCACGAAGTCCGGCACTAGTCCTCTGCTGATGTTGAGCCAGCTGGGTACCTTGGAGTAATCCTTGCTGATCTTGTCCATGGCTAGGTCTCGGTTCAGCTTGTTCAGGGTCTGGTCGTCGATTCCAGTGCACTTGGTGACCGTCAGGAAGCGGTCAGTGGATGGGTCGTGGACGCCCATCAGGAAGGTGGACATGATGCCACCTGGGGAGGGGTAGGGGTGGGGGTAGGGGTGGGGAAAGGGGTGGGGAATGAGGTCATTGTGGGTAGGGGTGAGGGTGGGTAGGGGAAGTAGTTGAGATGAAAATTGTTACTCTATGACGCACGTTGATCAAAAACATGCAAACTTATTACTATTTGGCTTGATTTTGTTTTAGTTAAGTTTCATTGTTTATAATTGTTTATAATTGTTTATAATTTGAATAAGGGAATAAATGTGTGCTTGGCTGGTTTTAAACACTCTGTTTAAGACCACTTGGAGTCTGGATGCTGATAGTTACCCGGGCCGAATTCATAAATACCTTTTCGGTCAAACAATCAAAACTTTCCAGTCCAAAAGTCAAAACAAGTCAAAAATTATAGATTCCCAACAATTTTGTTCAAAACTTTTTATCTCAGGTTTTTCGGGACACCCCTCTAGTTATATTATGGTACGTCCAGTCTCGTGAGTGTCATAAACACCTCCTTATGTGGAGATTGGCGCGCATACTGCGTGATGTGGCGTGCATACTGCGTGATGTGGCGCACAACGCAGCTGTGCCAGTGCATTGTGAATTGAGGACTATGAAACTCTGATTCACTGGTAATTTTGCGCATGCCTATGTGAGGATTGTGAACATTGAACCAATAAAACATTAAAAGGAACCGGATTTCATAGGAGTCCAAATTTCATGTGACACTGGAAAAGTATTTAAGACCAGCCGGCCGGTCTTTGTTTTAAGACTGGCCATGTGACGAGCTCTCGACCAATAGGACAGGGTAAACTGTCTTAGGTATTTATGAATTATAGTTATATTGTAATGCTGAATATATCCAGAATCCAATATAAACGGAGCTTGATAGCATACCTTTGCTGCCTGTTCCGTAGTATCCTCCAAGGACGATGAGATCGGCCGTGTCAGCCATGGCCCCTTCAGCTAAGTAATCCTTCTTCACTTTGAGCCAATGTCTCTTCCCAGGTTCGTAAACACTCTACATACAACACATATCAATACCACAATTTTTTGCTCAATATTTACCATTGTTTGCCACGTGGTCCATTTCTCAAAACTGATCACTTTCCAGCGTTGGCTTACAGCTTCCTGAATTAAGATCCCTGACTTAAAGAGACTCTGACTAATTTACAAGTCCATTTTTGTGTCTAAAAAATTTCTCACTTTAAAAAACTTCTGATTTTAATGCAAAAGGCCTATCGTTGATAGTATTTAAGCCAAAGCTGGTGTCATACCCGAGGTTTAAAAAATGGCATTGGTGCTTGGATTCACTCTATGATCTGAATGGCCCAATTAGGAAGATTATGTGCCCAAGTATCCCCACTGCCCATGTTGGAATATGTTATTGGGAAATGCACATGCACAACTACGCTGAACCTTCATCCCAACTGCCCAAGTAGGAATCATAAAATGGCTAAATATATCCAAACAACCCAACTGCCCAAGTCTGAATGTTAAGTGCAAAAGAATAATTAATCTGATGAAGGTGACCAAGTATAACCAACTGACCATTTTGTCTTTGAGCACTAGGCCTTCCAAACCCTCACGAATGACGCTCATGATCAAGCTGGACAAGTCGCCGGCCACCTGAATTAGATCAAAAAAGAAATAATGAAAGATAAGCAGCAATTCACAAATGGTGCACCACCTAGTCTTGTTCCAAGTCTGGAGTCGGAATGCAAGTGCAGTAAAGCCAATGCGGTAGTAGAGGTTGCTATCAATAAAGTGAGTAAAATCCTGTCTTGAGCACTTTGGCAGCGCTACCCAGGAAACTCAGAGCATACCTCGGAAAGTCAGTCAGTGACTCGGTCAGTCAGTGACTCAGTGACAAGAGGTCGGTACTTTGTGTCCAGTAAAAAACCCACATTATTCGGGGAAAAGAACTTTCAATTATGGGCCAAGTTCGCGCAAGGACTATAGTTGACCAATGGTTAACTAACGTTTGCCTGAACTCTGTCTAGTCAACGGTGGTTGACTACGCTAGTCGACTATTTGGAACCAACCTACTGGGGCTGGTTGCTTCGCTGGCAACCAATAGCCGCGCGCATTCATAACGCTAGCAGAGAGCCAGGATCCAGAAGTTTTGCGATGACATCATGACTACATGCAACATGAGTGTAAAACTGGGTTCCTGAACCACAGGTTGTAGTTTTTAGAGGAATCAGAAGGTTCCTTTTCAAAATTGCCAGAGAAGGAATGGAGTCTTCTGGAATTAGGCATAAGCCCCGCCCACCTTCTCTAAATGGTTATGACTGAGTTTGACTGAGCTACCATGGTCACCAGACCATAAAGTTGCGATCTGATTGGTCAATGTATAATGTATGATTGACAGGTGGGACGGGTCCATTGAGTAAAAGGGAAAGCAGGAGTGAGGGGCTGGATGAGACAGTGAAAAGGAAAAAGCAATGTTTCAGAGAGAAAAAATCTAAACTCACCGTGATGTCTTTGGATTCTGACAGCATGATGTGGTTTTTGACCGGAGTCAGGTTCTGCTCCAGGATCTTTCTTCTCACTTTCATCGGCCTGAAAAACGAGACAAAAACGGTCGGCACACTCATTGCAGGGAAACTCTAGAGGGCGCTGTTCCCATTTGGCACAATGTGAGCTCGACCCCTGGACTCTTTCGCAAGTCCCACTGGGCGGGGGGCACACCACGTGTGCGTACTCGTTTTGCACGTATGGCTCACGGTATGTACAACTAATTGCTTGTCTGTGCAGGGGCCTTTTTCACGAAACTCGTCTTATCTTGCGACTCATCTTAGGACTTAAGACGAGTCCCCACTCTAAGATCGATCTTAGCTAAGACGCGTCCTAAGACCGATTTCATGAAACCCATCTTAAGCAAGACGCATCCAAACTACCAATTTGATGGCTGTTTCATGTTTGTGTTTACCGCTTGACGAAACAGTCGTTGAAAAGAAACGCGCAAACCGAATTTCCCACGCGTACACATAGAACACGAACTTCAGCCAGAAAACTTACTCTACTCAATAAATTTCACACCCAAGTTAGTTGTACACAAGATGCGATCATGTTATTCTTGCTCCCCGTTTCATCACTCTATTTTTAAAAGTCGGCCAGTTGTTGGCGTATAATTAATATAATCAAAATCTTTCAAATCTGTTTCTACAGCAGTTTTCTTCCTTGAAACTATAACTCTAGGCCAACATATGTCTTTAACGAGAAGATGTTGCAATGGTTTCCAGACGTTTATGCAAATTTATGAGTTAAGACGACCCTCAGACTGATCGTAAGTTAAGACGAGTTCAGCAGAATTGCTATGGAAGTTAGGACGTGTTGAACGCGTCTTAAGTTCGATGAAATCGATCCTAGGACTATTAACACGACAGAGCGCCCATATATCACCAGCAAAAAGACAATCAGCCTTTTCTGGGAAAACTTTCACCTCAACTTCTTTGGCATAACTTTAGAGATGACCCCTAAATTTGTACCTGTCCATCAGATTTTCACCGTTGAAGTGAAGACAGTCAAAGATGAAGAGGCAGACGTTGGCATCACTGAAGGCGTTCCGCTTGTGCTTACCCAGAGAGCCGAAGGGTAGGATCTTGCCGCTCTTGTCCACCATCAGGATCTAAGACGGAAGACACAACGAAAGGAATGAGATCAACGGTCAGGGAAAATGTTGCAAGAGCAACCGCTGTGTCGATTGATTCAGGTAGTTTTGAGATACGAGCCATGGGCAAGACTAACATAACTGCTCCAAATTTGGCAACACATGGTTTGGCAGTATTATTTTCATCATCCTCCCAATCACAGTCCCACAATACAGGGTGAGTAAAAAAACACGAAACCCAAATGTCGGGACCATTGTTTTAGTGAAGTTCTGCATGTAGCACTTTTAAAATCTAGGATATGAAAGCTTGATTGATGAGCTTTCTTTTAGTACAAGAATTGCTCAAATCACTCATGTACTTTTCAAGTTACTGACTTTTAAACACAACTACCGTTTTAAAGTTCTGTCCACGGATCACAAAAAGGTAAGTGTTCTTTCAGCAAAACGAAAACAAATCACATAGGGATGTTTGTGTATTGTTTTTGGTTTGCTGAAAGAACGTACACCTATTGTGTGATCCGTGGACAGAACTTTGTGGTTGTGTTTAAAATTCTGTAACTTAAAAAGTCCGGAAGTAATTTAAATGATTCTTGTACTTAACAGCTAAAAGAAAGCTTATGAATTGGGCTTTCATATCCTAGATTTTGAAAGTGCTACATGTAGAACTTCAATAAAACAATAGTCCTGACATTTTGGTTTTGTATTTTTTTTACTCACCCTGCATGCATCCCACTGTGTACCAGCCCACCATAGAAAGGTCGAGGGAAAATGGGTCAGACATCAGCACGAGTCTGCAGGACATCGTGAATTCAAGTCCCATTCAAATACATAAGGTTAAACAATTTTCTCACCCACTTAGACATTTCTGAGACACATCAACGAGATTTACATATGGTTCACAAAAGTTCGACTATCTTCGCTCGAAGCCACTCTAGCGGCCTATTTAGGACCAGGGTACTGAGGTTCGGTGGAATCACTGGCTACAATGGCCACACCCTTCATAGCGCACAGCAAGGAGTCAGGATCAAACAGATTTGTGATGACGTTTTCACCATCGTTTGACTAGAGACGTTCACACAAAGTGCGCAGGCTGAAGTTGCTAATCGACCAATGGGCCTCAATCTAACTTGCTGACCTAGAATACAGTGAAATAACGCGTTTGTTCCTATGCCACCCCAAACTGCCGTGTCTGTTACTCAATATACTGCCCCAAACTGCCCAAGCAAATGGTTTGATGGCTTCATCGGGGTATAAATACAGTGGTTCTTGTTCTTGGTTGGTTCTTCTCCTAAATACTCCATGTGGGAGTTTATACAGGAGGCCAGAAACACCGGGGCAAACCCCTTCTCTTAGCGATAAGTGTTTACTGGGTTCTTTTACGTGCATTTATGCAACACACGGGACCTACGGCTTAAAGTCCCATCCGAAGGACGAAGCAATAATGGTTAAGTGCCTTGCTTAAGAGCAAAAGTGTCCGCCGGCGGGCTCGAACCAGTGTCATGCAAATCAACAATCAAGTTGATGAAGTAAAACAAGAGCGAGTGCACAATAAGCTCTGACTGTGTTGCAAGAAGTCTTGCATGAAATTGATCAAAATGATCCCTGCCAGAGCTTAAAAATGCGATGCCCAAACATGCGATGCCAATGGTACATATGGAACACCATGCTTCTGGTCAATTTTTGTGACAGACAGACCTACCAACCACCAAGTGACATAGAAATAGAAGCTCCTGCCAGAGCTTAAAGCTATAGTCCATCATTTGTAATTAGTGCATTTTGTTCGTTTGAAGCAACAAAAGTGTTCAAAATCTAATGAAGGATACTGAACAACTTACTTGATGAAGTTTCAGCTCAGCTTCAGCTTCATATTCCGAGAAAAACAGCATTCTAGGATCTCAATTTAAAATCAAAAGTTGCTAAATCATGTTGCGAATTGTTTTGAATTGCAGCTTTACGCGATGTTGCGCACTGATCCAACGAATAATAGCAACCGCGCGCGCATGTGCGTCGTTCCAATGCTTGTGCGCGCTGCGCCGAATAACAAAACGAACAACTAATTTAAATTTTCCTACGGTGCTTCTTAAGAAGCACCATTGGAAATGCCTTCTTTCATTGATTTCTTCAAAATGACAGCTTGGCAGAAAGATTAATTTCACAGGGAGTTTAGTCCCATTACTATCTTTCAACCAGTATGTTTTTCAACAATAATTACGCTTGTTACTCTTTTGGATAGCTGCAAATGATGGACTCTGGCTTTAAAGATCATTGTCATCACTCACCTCACTATCCAGTATGATGCTATTGCCATGGGGGCAAGCCTTGGGTAGGTAGTCCTTGATGTGCACCACCTTGTGGGGTAACACGGGCTTCAAGCTGCGGCTGAAGTACTGGAACGTGTCGCCTTGCTTGTGGATCTGTACACGCTCACCGTCGTATTTGATCTCGGCGTACATGCCGTTGGGGCACTTGCGCATGGCCATGTCCACCGACTTGCAGGCCTCGGCCTGGTGAGCAGACAAAGAAGGGATTCGGTTTTTGTCAGTCCCAGAGGGCCAGGTTAGTGTCTGCTTTGTACCTATATCACTGATTGTCTGACTGACTCAATCTTGTGACTTTGACTGGTTGTAGATTGGTAAAAGGAGCTGGGCAGTGCCATTGTATAGGATTACCCTGTAACAGCACTTTGTGAATACCACATGTATGAAAAGACTTTTGTGCACTATTGGGACCAACTTTACTAAGTCTCCTGATGATGACTAGAGCAGGCTAGTCGAAATGTTGAGACCAAAGACAAGTTCTTTCAGAACTTAAAGCAGGACTGTTCTTATCAGAACAGAAACTACTTAGCGAAATTTGATAATAAGCAGGACAAGTTCTTTTCAGAACTAAATATTTTCTAAGCAGTAGTTATTACCACATGGTGTTACCGCAAACCGAAACAATAACTTTACTAATGCCATGTATATGTACAAACATACCGTACATTTCTGAACTGCTAGAAAATGCAATAGTAATGTCCATTGTGTCTTACTTCGTAACTGCATATGGACGTGAAAAACTGCTTATAAAAATTTCAGCAGTTCTATTTGGTGGATTGGTTTCTGCCACTAAATAGATAATAGCCGTAATGACAATAGGAAAGACTGGGAACCAGACTACTCGTCCCAAGATGGCAAACATGTAATTTGGCACAATTTCATGGCTCTGTTAACCACAGAATTCCGCGCTTACAGTCATCATTCTGTGCTAACAGCGCCAGCAGAAATATTATGTGCTAACCCTGTAAGCACAGAATCCTTAGCTACGGGATGTACGCATGCACAGAAGCTAAAATTCCTGCTTACCTGTGAAATATGCTTAACGTAAGCATGGACGTTTCTGCTACCGTAAGCAGGCATTTTTCGCTTAGCTACGGGATGTACGCATGCGCAGAAGCTAAAATTCCTGCTTACCTGTGAAATATGCTTACCGTAAGCATGGACGTTTCTGCTTAGTAAGCAGGATTTTTTGCTAACGGTAAGCATAGCCATGAAATTGGGTCCTGTCCTAAACCTATGACATTTCAGCAGTTGCTAATTTGCATAGAATGTGGGCCAGTGGGGAGGGGAGGGGCTTGAGAATGTGGGAGGCGGATAAACTTACCAGCATAGGAAGTACAGGTGTCAGAAGCGTTGCGCGAATGCTCAGTTTCTTGCTCATACCGGGTCTTCCGTCCGCTGCCTCTTTGTTCTTGGTGACGCGGTCGACCACGTCGCGCAGGTTACGCGAGGCTTGGAATGCTTGGTAGGCGTTGGGGTCCAGGGCCTCAAGTCTGTGGATAGTTAATCACAAAACACTGCAATAATGATGCAACGTTAACACTTTTACACAAACAAAAAAATCAAAGTGTGCACAACAATTTTCCCAAATAATAAAATGGAATCCAAATTTCAAACCGTGTATTCTTGCGATCTACCTTCCAGTTTTTTTTACTTCAAGGAGGCCCGTCAAATTGTGAACTCAAACTTTGCTCATTTGAAAACATTTGTGAGAAAGGGTTGCTCATTGGCTTACTGCCACGTATATAACACAACAACGATATCAAAGAAAAGAAAATTTATGACAGCAAAATATCCAAAATTTGAGCAACTTATTGCGCTAAAATAGCTGTAACATTGAGGTTTTTGCCCGGAGTGACATCACAGTTTTGCTCATGAATATGTAAACTTGCATTAGCATAACAACCAGAAATACTGCAAGTTAAACTTGCGCGATCCCCCTGGCATGCTGGCAGTATTTAGTCAGTTAATTGGTAAGCGCACTTTTCAGTGTACCTAACCAAAATCAACAATGACCTCATTTGACCCCTGGATGACCTTTGACCTCGAATGTCTCAAGTTATCTGAAGTCCCCTACCCAAAGATTATTGTCACCAAGTTTGGTTGAGATTGAAGTCTGACTTTTCATATGACAGCACTAAACAGTTAACCTAACCAAAATGGAACACACGTATACATTGTACACACATGCATACAGGTTGTGTTTATGGTGTAATCGAGGATGTTCTTTTGTTCCTCTTCCCTTTTCCTTTGTTTATATTCATACTTTTTTGCAACAGCTCTCATTGGTTTTGTACACGTTTTCTAATCGAGGTCATCCTCGATTTGGTTCCTTTCATTTCATTGATGGTGTTGCACGTGTGTGTCCTCGATTTACACCATAAACACCCACAAACAAACACACAGAAGGAATGACCTATCACCATATTCCCTTTCTTGACTTAAGAGCCAGGGGGATAAAAAGGCACCAAAACACCCTTCAAAATGGCAAAATGAAAAATTGAAAATGAGGTTAAATGGGACACAAAGGTGCATTTTTACGGAAAGCATTAAAAAAAGATTACATTGCATGGGTCCTTTATTAGGTACATTACTGGTCTTGAGATTAGTGTGCACTTTCGACACGGTCATTGATTCCAGAAATAATATATTGAGCATCAAGAAGCACTATCTGCTGTGTGCTTATGTCATTTTCGCTGCTAATGAAAGAGTCATCAAGGTCGTAGTAAAGTGCTCTTGTACATGTAAAGAGCATCCTACGGACAGATAGGACTGCATGATGAATGAAGTACTGCGCCAAACAGCGCTAATAGACTTGGGCGTACTCTCCAAATGGATAGAGGCTTTGCCAGGGGGTAATTAAATAACTACAAGCTGAACTTTCTAGCCCACGTTTTTTGTCTCTTCGGATCATGTCTAATTAATCGTGTTCTCTTCGTTATTAATAAATGGCGCGGACAAAATTACTCCATTTGCGTAAAAGTACCCTTCACCCTTAAAAAACATTTTGGATATTAGATAATTATGAACCGTAAGTAGGACATCTATTAAACACAATACATTAGGCCTCGTTACGACAACAGCTAGCAGCAGCACAAATATAAGTAACATAAAATTGTGATGCTAATATTGCGTTTTCCATTATCTCAACAATCTCAAACCACTTTACAATTATTCACCGTTCATCAGGCCATGGGACCACACGGCAGCCGATATCAGTGCACATTCCGTCCTCTACCCTCACAGGTACCCATTTATACTCCTGGTTGGAGAGAGGCAATTGGAGTTAAGTGTCTTGCCCAAGAACACAAGCAACATGTTCCTGGTAGGGTTCGAACCCGCGCACCATCTTGCATGAGTCCAACGCCGTAACCACTGGGCCATGGCGTTGTGTCTCACTGACTGGCTGACTGTATGCCGGGCAGTACTATCTTATAGGATTACCCCATAACGCCACAGAATGGCTCAATTCAACCACTGTGTTGCGCCAAAGTGTCCTTTAATATTGGCACCCTTTGAGCGTTGAGGGGATACTTACATGTGCTTGGCTCCAGAGTTGATGCGTAGGTCGTGTTTGATAAGTCGTACCACCATCTTGAGATCGTTACCAGTGCAGCGTTTGGCAATGCGGGTCAGGTGGCGCTGTTGCTCTGTTTCTTTGGTTAAGGCCGCCATGCCCTCCAGAAAATCATCCACCTGGATGCAAAAGAAAAGAAAGGTTCAAATATGATCAAAATGAGATCAAGATGAGATCAAAATGAGATCAAAATGGGATCAAGACAGGATCGAGATGGGATCAAGATTAGATGACAATGGAATCTAGATGAGATCCAGAAGAGATCAAGATTGGTTTATGATGGGATCAAAATGGGATCAAGACAGGATCCAGATGGATCAAGATTAGATGATAATGGAATCCAGATGGGATCCAGAAGAGATCAAGATTGGTTTATGATGAGATCAAAATGGGATCAAGACAGGATCCAGATGGGATCTAGATTAGATGATAATGGAATCCAGATGGGATCCAGAAGAGATCAAGATTGGTTTATGATGGGATCAATACGGGATCAATACGGGATCAATACAGGATCAAAATGCAATCAAGACAGGATCAAGTTGGGATCAAAATGCAATACAGACAGGATCAACATGGGATAATGATGGGATCAAAATGGGAACAAGAGGGGATCAAAAAGGGATAAATCAACACAGGATCAAGATGGGATCAAAATGGGATCACAATATCTAGGATCAAAAAATGGACCTAGAAGGGATCAAATTAAGTTCAAAATGGGATTAAAATGAGATCACAAGGGGATCAAAATTGGTTAAAGATCAAGACAGGGTTGAGATGAGATCGAAATGGAATAAAGAGGGGATAAGATGGGACCAAAATGGGATGAAAATTGCATCAAAGTGGATAAAGAAGGGATCAAAATGTGATTAAAACGGGATCAAAACTACATGTACATACATGTAGATCCAATTGAGATGTAAATAAGATCAAATAAACTGATAATGCTTTAACACCAAAGAGGTTTGGATACCTTACAAAAAATTATACAACTTTAATATTAAAACCGTGTCTGTGTTTCAGACTAAACAAAAACATCTCTCTTAAAATAGAAACATGCATTAATGATGTACATTTTGTAACTTGAGCAAAGCAAACATAATCCAGACAAAAACAACAGCTCATGCCTCTCTCGATCTCTGGAGAAAAAAAAAATCAAAATTAAAAAATAAAAAAGATCATAACTGCATCTGCAACAATAACATCCCCGGGATAGTTGATCCATCATGCTCGGTTTTGAGACAAGGGACAAAATATCAAATTTCCTCCGCGCAGGGGAAATCCGAGTGTGGCTACGGAGGGGCCAAGGGGGCTTAAGAATCATTTAGGGGTAATCGGAGAGGCCGTTTGACGGTCCAGACGAGCCCCGTTGATGGCTGGTAATTGGTTGATTAGGTCAAGGAACAGATGGGGGGAGGGAACGCTTCGGTTCGCGAGAAGATTAGACAGGCTCTCGTAACAACATTCATCCGATACTCGTACAGTGTGTCGGGGGACGTTACATCATGCGATCCAGTTACTTGCTAGTGCTGCCCAAGGGTCATACTGCATCGGTAGTGGATCTGTGTATAATCTCACGAGGGCGCTATTGCATATATCCTGCAAAACGGGAGTTGTCTTGGACCTGGGTTCTTTAAGTCCAAGAGAGAAGATTCTAAGCTCTATGTGTCTAGGTTCTCACTTAGAATGTGACACACATAAATGACAGAAAAGCAGAGTCTGTTTACAAATATACTTAAAAGTTAAAAGGTACCAAAGTTATATTTCAATTACTTTTCACAGTGCGTAGTGGTTCTTTCCTCGCCTTTCACCACTGCAACCCAGGTTCGAATCCCGCCTGGGCCAATATATGGATTGGGTTTTCAGTCCTTACCTGATTCTGTGGGTTTTTCCCCAGAATATTCTTCTGGGGTTTTCCTCCCACCTCTAAAACTGTAATTTCTTCTCACTGTCTCCTCTCTACAGGTTTTTTTTCAGGTTTGTGAGCTACAGTGCCTAGGGAGCTTTTGAGGAATCCTAATTGGTTTCATTACCAGAAATAATTAATAATAATAATTATAGTTATGAAACTCCATCCTGTACTCAAATATTCTTCCGTAATTTTCAATTTCCACATTTCTAACCTTGTCATCATTTACATAATTAAAAAATACTTTGAATGTTCCTACTAAAAAAAAATTCGCATGACTCGTAATATACTGTCCACTGTACTTTAAAAAAAAAAACAAGTCCACCCACGGTTACAGTACCGTACATGGTCTGATAAACATAAAAAAAAAAAAAAAATTATACTTTGGATGAAAAAAAATGTCGAAAAACGGCCCCATGGCCTTTTGCTTTCTCAATATCAAAACATGAAGACAATATGATACTCTGGTTGTTGATGAAACACAGGGTAATTTTCTCAACCATGACCCAAGGGCAAAAACCGCTGATATTTAATTTGAAAAAAACGGAGCCTGCGTATGCCCACAAGGACACTTGATTAGATAAGGAATGTCGTAAGGGTGAAAATTACGGAAATTTTTTTCGGAGTGCGGTATTAACATATCTGTGACGCAACTGATGAACTGGTATCACCGTGTTAAAAAAAAATCATAACCTGATTTGAGGGAAAGTCCAACGATTTTTTTTTTTTTTTTTTTTTTTAAGCAGAAGAGTCCCGGATTTCTGTGGCATGCAACAAAAGTGTTTGTGTGTTAAAAAAAATAAACGGGGGAAAAAAAAAGTAACCCGATTCCAGCAAAATGTCAAATACGGTGTCGCGCGCTTCTGGGGTGATGGCGAGAAATGCGATTAAAGGGGCCATCAATTGGATTAAAGGTGCCAATTGAAGTTAATTTTGGGAGGGCGAAATTCCGCGTAAGAGGATCAAATGCGCGGTCAGGGAACATCATATTGCACAAAAAGCCTTGTTATTCTGCGCTTACAGGTCCTAGCTTTTAACTCGGTGTAGGCGAAATTGGCGTGTGAATGACATTGCTTGTAAGATGATAGGATGGTATCGGAAGCTGTTAAAGGTCACACGCATGTACTGTATGTAGTGGTGACAATTGGATTATGGGCACAATACGGAATCATCTTATTTAGCGATACAAATTAAGTTACACTTTTTTATTTCTTTATCTCATTGAACATAAGTTTGAGTGACGTGTTCTTGAATCAGACGTAATTGGGTGAAAAGATTATAACTGAGAAAAGATTTTTAATTTTACATTCATGAAGATTTTATAAATTTTTCATTTCATTCAAATTTATAGTCTTGGTCATAAATGGACTGCTCAGAACATGTACAAGGTGGTGCATAACAAGGAAACTCACTTTTGACAGCAATTTTCACCTACTTGTTGAGAATATTTCAAAAATTCAATTTAATAGTATTAAAATATTGATCGTTAAACATAAGTGATGAAAAAATTATTACATATGCATATTTTGTCTCTAAGATATGGTAGTTTGAAACTTTCATGTGCCAAACCTGTTTGTCCACGGACGGCTACATTCCATCCGCTTGACCGAGCTCCCGAGCTTGATTTGAAGACAAAAAACACTACACTAGACTTACACGTGGACAACAGTGATTTTGGTGACTTGCATCCAATTTAGCTTAATGACACTATTTTTGCGATTTTTAAAAGATTTTTTCTTCACCACATATGGTTGAAGAGCTATACTTTACTACATTATAAAAAACCCAGTTCAAATAAGTTAAGTAAGTACATGTAGGTTCAAATTCCTGTCAAAAGTGGGTTTCGTTCTTTTTGCACCACCCTGTACAATCTAAAAAGTAAATTTGTACAATTTAAATATGCATACCTTTCTTGAATGTATATACTTGTGCATTTATACTGTAGAATAAAGAATATTTTAAAATTTAATCTTTACTTGATTTGTAACAGAACTAAAATATTCCACTTCAGTTATTAAAAAGAGAAATTTCAATCCCAAACATATGTTTTCCTTTATAAAAATCTTTGCTTCGGTGAGGCTTCAGACTGACACATGAAATGTAAAAGAAATATGTAACTGGACAAAAAGAGAAAGATTAAATTTACCTCGTGAATGGACAATGAGCTTTTCTTTGAGGGAGGGCAAACCGTGCTTTCCACAAAGAACTTCTGGACAGTTTCAGCAACGTCACCTTGGTCAAGATCGGTCACCATCTCCTCCAAATTGGTGCCAAATATCTGTAAAAAACAAATGAAAATTAGTAATAATTAAAAGTAGTAAGTAAAATCTGTCATGAGCCAGTTTGGCTCATTAAGCCGGCGTTTATCTCCGGTTTTCATGACATGAAATGACTGAGAGGATTGATCCCAGTCCATTTTTGTCTGTGTAAGTTTACTCCCAAGCTAATGCCAGTACCCATTGGGTGGAGAGGTTGAGAGAGTCAAGTTGGAGTAAAGTGGCTTGCCCAAGGACACAACATATGGCCAGCGGCTGGATTTGCACCTCTGACCATCTCATCATGAGCTTGAGATCACAGCAATCTGGTCTTTACCCTCACAGGTCACATTCATACTCCTAGGTGGAGAGAGGCTATTGTAGTAAAGTGTCTTGCCCAAGAACACAAGCACTGTGCTCCCTGTCAGGATTCAAACCCATGGACCATGGCACATCAAGCCAGGAGATCAGTTTTCTGCAGCCAAAGTTGTAACGAGTCACTAAGTTTTGTGACTCGAGTCGAGTCGAGTCATTTTAAAGAAGTAACTCGAGTCGAGTCGAGTCACAGTGTGTAGTCGAGTCGAGTCAAGTCGAGTCAAGTATTTAGCTCGTGTCAATTCAAGTCACAAATATTTGAACACTATACACTAGTCACTTTTTGGCTTTTTTATTTTTACATTCCGGCTTCTACATGTGGTGACACCACATTTGCCTCTTAATGAAAATAAAAACGGGTTGCCAGGTGATTGCCATTCAACTAATGGGGACATTGATCAAACCATGTATGTAAACATTATTCGCGAACATTCTAACGTGACGTAAACAAAAACCGGCAAATATTTTTGGCGAAAATTTGCTTTTATTTTTGTGACTGAGTCTTATTAGCCTTCCTAGAGTCGAGACGAGTCATTCTGATGAGGGACTCGAGTCGAGTCGAGTCATTTGCTTGCAGTACGTGACTCGAGTCAAGTTGAGTCATTTGCCCTTAGGGACTCGAGTCGAGTCGAGTCGAGTCACCAAAAATTGTGACTCGAGTCGGACTCAAGTCATTACAACTCTGTCTGCAGCAGCTTAAGATCAGCGCAATCTGGTCTTTACCCTCACAGGTACCCATTTATACTCCTAGGTGGAGAGAGGCAATTGTAGTAGTGTCTTGCCCAAGAACACAATCATCATACTCCTTGTCGGGGTTCGAACCCATGGACCATTGCACATCAGGCCAGGAGACCAGTTATCTACAGCAGCTCAAGATCAGCACAATCTGGTCTCTACCCTCACAGGTTGAGAGACAAACAATTGTAGTTAAAAGTGTCTTGCCCAAGAACACAAGTACAATGTTCCCACTTAGTCCCTTGGCAAATGTCAAAACCTAAGCTGGAGACAAAGTCTAAGTTTGGGAAATGGCCCTAGGGTTTTCTGCTCACCTGACTAAACACCTTGGCCAGTTGTTTACTGTTGATGTTGTAGACTCTCTTGACCACGCCCGGCAACAGCAGCTTCAACAACAGATACGTGTCTCCTTCGAAACCATCTGTAGGAAGAGAATCATGTATAAACCTAGTATCTTAAAGATCAAGGCGTGTAGCAATAATCTTCTGCTTAACCAGTTCGCGACGGATGACCTGTATACACGCAAAGGTTTTGCAGTATTCGGAACGGATGGTGGATAAACACGCAGGGAGCGAGGCCGGAAATATCTGTCAGCGACCCAATCGCAGCGAGCAAGGCCGGAAATATGAGTGTGCTGCCCGAGGGTGATGGCTTCAACCCACCCGGCTTCAGGTCGAGTGTAAATTAATCATGCGCCTTGTTCCGTTCTTGTCAAAATAATCCCGGCATGAACTGGTTAAATGATAGCTATAAAGTTGAACAAAGAAATGGACTATAGCGGGGTTTGAACCTGCGACTGCCAGATCGCCGTTCCAGAGCTCTTCCAACTGAGCTATCCAGCCCTATGTTGGCGGTTTCCCATTTTTTCAATGTGTTTGTTCAAGGAAGGCTAATCAGTAGCCATAAACAGGTATCTGTCGTGTAACCAGGGATCACGCCCAAAGTCACGATGCTAGCAACATTGGCAATGCTGCATACCCAGGAAATTGCAAACGGGATCACTCAGAGAGGATACGGCTTTTAAATAAAAATCATCAGATAAACCACACAGCTGGTGTGAAACGCAGCAGCCGAAGTCATAAAAACAACTGCCAGCAACAAGATAAATCTAAGCACGATTACACGCTAACTCCTCATGACGAACATAGGTGAAAGCCACACGTAGACTACATTAGCTAAGCATTATTTATCTGCTAAGAGGTTTAGTTTATCGATGGCTGACTGACCTCCAGATGATCCCTTCTTGATGAACGTCTCCACTTCCTTCGTCTTGGCCAGGTAGGCTGACTGATCCGCGATGCGAGCGCAGAGCTTACGGAACTCACGGAAGGAGTTGTCCGGGTGTTTAGTGTCGGTGGTTGCTGACGCGACCGAGGTACTTGTTGATGGGACGTCGGAGTTGCTGGCTGGATGTACATGAAGGAAAAACAGGGGAGAAATAATAGTTTTATTTATGAACCAAACAGGCTTCTTTTATTGGTTGATGTTCCAACATGTTAACCCTAACTCCCTAGGCCTTTTTGCTAGGATGTAGCCTCAATCCTGCAAAATCCTCCAATTGGCCTCATGGAAAAATAGCATATAGCCTCAATCCTGCAAATTCCTTTGTTGTTTCTTGAATATGGTCCACGGAGGGGTGACCACTGCCTGAATCCTGCAAAATCCTCCGGCTATGACTGTCAATAGGCTGAGGCAGAGGCAGTGACATCTTGGAGCAGTGCGGAGGATGTCAAGTACCGGTATAATCAAGGACTAAATTTATGCACGGCTGAGCATAAACAACACAAGGTCTGGCCCAAGACCTTGACACAGTGCTTACTCCAAAATCAGCAACGCACTTTGGCCATGTAACTTCAATCCTGCAAATTCCTCCAATTTGCAAAAAAGGATTTTGGAGGATTCAGGGCGGTTAGGGTTAAGGAAGCTACTACATTTTTACACGTACTTAACTCTCGCGACAGAAATACCTGAAATATCGCCTGGTTGGTTGTGCCAGGGAAGCAGTATCCAAAGATTAGCTCCCGGACTTCAAACTATGCAACAATTGCAAACACAAGTGAGGTTTCTGGTGGTACCACACTAAAAATCGATTTGAATATCTCCCTTTGCTTCGTGTCTTGAGGTAGTCACATCAGACACCTCAAAACCAGTTATTGTGCACTCTTCCATTGTACAGGGTGAATCAAAAAGAAAGTGACCTGGATTAATGATTTGCTTTGCTACAAAGCAATCAAATTTGATACATCAATGAAAAATGTCTTAACCACTTCGGGCTGGCATTATTTTTGCCGAAATTTCGATTTTCGCAAAAGGCAAAATTTTCCAGCCAACTTCTGATCCTACAGCCAGACACCACAAATACTGATTCGCAAGAGTCATTTCAACAGTATTTGTATGATATTTTTCTTGCCCAAACCTCACATGTTTCAATACTCTGAGGCGTGCACTGGAGCGTAAATTGTAGAACAATAGGCTGTGCACAACGGCCAATTCAAGATCAACACACGAGGGATTAACGTGTTTAGACATCACCCGGAGGCGAGTCGAGGTAATCTTGACGTTTTAACCTGTCAGCCGTGCCTGTGTGTAAAAACAGGCAGTGCGTGTTATCACGTCCTCCGACGCGAACTGGTTAAAAGAGCATGTTCTTCCACTCATCTGGAAACAAATTTACCAAAATTGATCCATGCTATCAGAACTTATGCATGTTTTACTAAAAAAGAACCTATTTTTATAGCCATCCATGGAATGCCATTGGAAGCTATTGAGCTGAATGAGAATTACAGATTACACACAGGCATTCAAATACAACTGAGATTTTGATCATTTGAGTCAAGACTGAATTTATTATTTTTTTCCTGTCAGATTCTGTGTTTTGAATGTGAGGAACAAGTGATCTTTTTTTTCCTGAAATGTTGATGACGACTTTTGTCTGCTTTCCTTTGCTAGTTGTCGTTCATTCATTAGGTGGGAAAATGTTGACGTTTCATTGTATTTAATGGGTATTCATCAGTTCGTTGAACGGTAAATGATCAGTGGTGGACAGCCGAATTTTGTGATCTTTTTATTAAAATAGACATGACTTGGGAATAGAGTAAGCAAATTACGTAAAAATATCACAGTTAGTAGTCAATAACATGTTATTTTTATCCCTGTGTTTGTTTTATGAATTGGAGCAGGCCATGTTCTTTAAAATATTTTTTCTTTAAATTCAGTCACTTTCTTTTTGACTCACCCTGTACCGTATATTAACTCTTTCCTTACTATTGTTGGTCTGTCACACTCATAGTAAAATCATATTTATTGGGTTGCTTAAAGGGAATATACAACATTTGCAAACATCGAAAAATAAAACTACCAAGTTTTTACGAAATACCTTACTAGGATGTTGGTAAATGACAGTCTCAAGCATCTTGTAAAATTATGGCACCTGGTGTGAAGTCATTTTCAAGAAAATGGTATTTTTGTAAACATTTCCTACGGTGGTCGGCCGACCAGCGTTGGAAAAACCTAACTATTTTTCAACTACTGCTCCAAATTTACCATTTTTTCAGTCCAAATTTTGTTTGCTATTGGTTACATGTTCATGAACGGGTGCAGGCCAGCTAGACTGGTTCCCTTGCCTTACAATTTTCCATCATCTATAAATTGATCCATTTTATCTTTTGTGGAGTCAGGGAACCAGACTACTTGAACATTTTTGTTTTTCTTGGTTTTTCCAACCTTTTCGAACACCAAACTTCAAAAATGTCAGCGTAACAATATTTGATCTATATACTAACCTCTCAAATAGTTCATTTCTGAAAATTACAGCAAAAGCCAATGATGTACGGTACATTCCCTTTAAGTGAAATTTAAATTTAACACTCCTGCTATTTAAACAGTCACAGCCAGTCAATATTTCCATCCACTTCCCCTGCTGTACCGGTACTTTTAAGGAAGCTAGTCACCAAAAGTCAGATCAAACGTCAAGCAAGCACTGTGACTAATCAAACTGGGTCAACAGACAAAGCAGGCGAGTTGTGGTCACAGCTGTTTTATCACTCAACGGGAGTCAAAGCATAGCTGTATCAAGTTACTCAAACAGTCCCAGCCAGTCAATCCTGCTTTACATAATATAGTGTACATGTAGGCCGGGAATTCTTAAGTGTTGAAAATAGTCACTTGTTCGATTTTGATGAAAGGACAACTTGGCACAGACTGTATGGTTGCATCTAGGCGAGTAAATAATGTGAATATAATGCAACTTTAATATTTCTTTATTTACATAAAAAAAACATTTAACAGTGATTAAAAAAAGAAAGAAGTGAATTCAAACTTAACACAAGCCAATAATATAAGCCTGCTATCAGCCCTGCTCAACAACAAAAATCCATACAGTCTGCAATGTTTTAACGACGAACAAATCCGGCAATATCCTTAAGACTTGCCATCCTCTAATCTTAAGGTGTAGAATAAGCAAATAAATTGCCTGAAATGTTAGCTTCGAGAAATTGTCGATGATCATCATGGGTCTTAATGGGTCCTCAAGGCTCACGACAAAAAATTGACCTTTCAGCAGGTGGAAAGAAGAAGTACTGACACCACCCCCCCCCCCCCAAGCCTCGTCATTAAACAAGACAGCCAACTGTTTTAGCCGCTATCCAGTGACAAGTTTTACAGTCTATTGAAGTTTGCCCCTAAGGCTGTAACTATTTCTCTAAAGTTCTGCCCGGCCAACTTGCCGTGGAGCAATCGTTTCTACTTCATTACCACTTCATCACAGTTCAATGGTGTTCAATCGGATGCTTACGGACCGTACATATGTAACGGCTACTTCAGAAGTTGTAAAACCTGCGTGTAGCAGTTTCAAGCCCAAGGGATGAATGTACAATGTACATTGCGTAGATTTATGCAAAATGCATGTTGATACATTTGCCTGGCCAGTGGAGTAGGTTAAAAACAGCCCTAGAGGTGTATCCAAAACTAGCCTGAAACGTTTACTTTGCAGGGATGTAATCGAGTCCGATTCAAGTCCATCACAAGTCCAGTCACAAGAAACAGTGGATGAACAAAAACAAAGGAAAGCCTTTGTCAAAGCTAACATGAAATAGCTTGTGAGTTGAATTGGGACTGGAGGACTTGTTATGGACTAGACTACATGTACAATGTTTTTGTACATCCCTGTTTTTTTTGCCATGACCTGCATATTACAGTATTCAATTGTTCGCGGCTCGGCACAGAAACTTGGTAAGCACGGAAGATGTAGCGAAACAGGTCACCGGCCAAAAATTGCACGCAATGTCCATTGCTTGTAACTGGTACCTTGCTCATTTTTACTACGCAGAGAAATCTGTTAAGCACTTTTTTTTTACTTAGAAGCTACCAGTACACGTAATTAGGCCGAGGTGAAGCAGAAATGAAGTATGACTTGAAACTTGGTTGGTCTATGTGCCACTTTTATCGGCCATTTTGATGTATTGCGGAAACACAGTATGGGGGCACTACTTGAAATGGTTAAATTTGAGTAAATGCAAAAGAGTTTAACCACTCCAAATGGCGCCCTCCTTTTATGTCCTTTTATATACCAGCTGAAAGAGTGTTTTCGGATCTTTCTACCAGTGTGGTTTATTCATAGTGTTACCATTACAAAAAAATGAGAAAAGTGCTTCAGAAGTATCCACGCACAATTTGAGATATGGAGTGCCATTTGGTCATGTGGTGAAATGGCTTGCAGTTTGATAATTGGGACCAGATGAACAAAAAGGCATAACTTTATTATATTTGCACGTATAGACTTCATTTTTACATCACAGAAAAGAGTAAGGTTCAAGGAACAAACTTTACACACAACATCTATGATTTTAATCACTCCTTGGCAGTGAAAATCTGGGTTGAAAAAAGTGAGTTTTTCACTCGTGCTCATTTTTTTCACGCTCTGGTGATTTCCGCATGACTGAGCAAACAATTTGGTCCTGGGGAGAGCCAGGTCAATAAACAATGTGGGCATGAAAGGGTTAAAGACAGAAATTTGTTAAGCACAAACAAAAACGTTCTCACTCGGCCAATTGCTCTACGCAACATCAGGCACTGAACTGACAAATAATAGCAACCACGCATGGCGGGCATCGTGTCAACGCTTGCGCGCGTCCACTCACAGATTCCCTGAATTACAAACCAACTAGTAACAGAAATTTTTTTAAATGCGTCACTTGACGCATCTTTGGAAATCACCTCCTTTTATTGTATTCTTCAAAATGACAGCATGCCAGAAAGAATCTTTTCACAGGGAGTTTAGTGCCATTACTATCTTTAAACCTAGAAAGCTTTTAAACAAAAATTTCTTCAGTCACTTTAAGGATAGCTGCAAATGATCTACCAGTACTCTACCTTTAAAATTCCATGTTATGGGAAACAACAACAAACTGAACATGAACCAGGCACAACTTGAACACACGACATAAAATTTTGGCTAGTAAACCTGACTCTCTGTGCTTACTGGCGTCACAAAATTGTCCCAAGTAGTGAAAGGGTTGTGAAACTTACCAGTGGGAGTTGGAGCTTTCTTGGAGGGCGAGACGACTTGGCCAGAAGGCGAGAGCTTCGCCTGAGCTGCTTTCTTTTTGGCTGGTGTTGAAGCCTTGTTCTTGGTCTTTGTTGCAAGGTCTGCAAAAAGAGAACAATTCTTTGAGTCATGATATTACTTTGTTTTGAACCATTTAGTCATGTACCGCCCCAAAAACCCTGTAGCACCTGAAACCACTTGAGCACTCTATGGTTGTATTGATTCGTCGGTGAATAAACACAATGTTGTAGTACAGTCGCTAAGGCCAAAAAAAAAAAGTCTCCGGTTTCTGGTATGCGTGCGCGTCGCCGTAGCCATGCGCGTCGGCAAAATGAAAAAGTTTTTTTTTCAATGAAAGATGATGTCTCAAAACCGCCAAACTCACTGGTTTGACTGGAATCTGCTACTGCACAATTTTAACGTGTTTTTAGATGAGGTTATGATCGAGAATAAGCTTTATGTGGCCTCTCTGGACTCCCATATATTTGCACTAAGTTTAGTCGGGCACCATTTGCAGTCATCAGCCGACATTTGAAGCAAAAAAGTCAGGTAAAAAAAAAACAAAGCCGCGTCGCCGCACCACTTTTTGGACAAGCTCCATACCAGAAACCGGAGACTTATTTTTTTTGGCCTATTTGAGTTACATTGTAACTTGGTGCAGTACATGTAGAAGTGATTTGTGTCGAAAAATAAATTCTGTTAACCCTAACCCTCCCAAATCCTCCAAAATACTCTTTGCAAAATGGAGGATTTTGCAGGATTGAGGCTATATTGCAAGGTGTGGCTGATTTTTGGAGGATGCACTGTGTCAAGGTCTTGGGCCGGACCTTGTGTTGTCTACATACCTGTTCAGCCATGCACAAATTTAGGCCTAGATAATACTTTTAATCCTCCACACTGCTCCAGGATGTCACTGGCTCTGCCTCAACTACTGACAGTGATTGCTGGAGGATTTTGCAGGATTGAGGCAGTGGTCGACCCTACAAGGACCACATTCAAGAAATAATGGAGGATTTTGCAGGATTGAGGCTATATGCAATTTTTACATGGAGGCAGTTGGTTTTGTAGGATTGAGGTTGCATCCTAGCAAAAATGCCAAGGGACTTAGGGTTTAATAATCTAAACTACCATATTCTTTAACCCTCCCTTTCTGCCTGGCAAATTTCAACAAGGCCAGCCCAGCAGTCAAAATAAATCAAGTGACTGTTTTTAACAGTTGAGTGCTCCCTGCCTTCATAACGCAGGATTGACTGGCTGTGATTGTTATGAAACCTGATATAGCTAGGCTTTGACTGTAGGAGATTGATAAGCCAGCTGTGCCTACCAGTCACCTGCTTTTGTCTGTTGATGGAATTTGACCGTCAAAGTGCCTACAAGTAATACGATCTGACTGTTGGTGACTAGTCTGTGTAAAAGGCAATGCAGGGGAACAGGATTGACTTTTTGACTGACTGTGACTGATCAATGAAAAGAAGGGTTAAAATGCACCAAAATGCTTCGGAAGATTTCGTAGAATTCAGGAAGATGGCGACCAGACATTATTACCTTGAACACACGAGGCTGATGCCCCTCAATAAATGACAAAGTACCGTATGTGTCATTGGTTCCTGCACTGATGTTGACATTTGCTGATATAAAAAAGTTTTAACAAAATGCCTTAGGAATGAGGGTTTTATCAAGATTCACATTGTCAACTAACGATAATGCTAAAGGCAACAAAGATACTCCAACCGTTTCCGTAATTAAACTTTTCCAGGTCAGGCCACTTTTGGAATTTTTTTTCTTCTCAATTTAAAACAAAACATGATAAGATCTCTTTGCTTCTACGCTGCTAATGTAATTCAGTAAAATCAGAATTGATCCCCTCAAACTAAAGCAATAAATTTGACGAAATTAAAAGCGACTCTTTTGGATGTTTGCATTTTGCATTTCCTCTTGAGGGCTTCCAACTCGGGAGGGACGAATTCTTAAAACCGACATCTCAAATCAGAATAAAAACACATTTTTTTTTAGTAATCCAGCAGGTATAACTGATAACTCTGAGCATCTAAACACCTCCCGTTTTATACACAGTGACTTTTTCCCCCTTCTTCTTTTGTGCTACAAGCGGACGCTTCGATGAATTCCAATGAGGCAATTAGCTCAGTGTCAGTTAGGACAAACCAAAGCGACCGGCACCGCGACACTACATGCACATGTACTAGAGTCAACAAAGGCCCCGGGCAGCTAGCAAAGCCAATCGTGGAAAAGAGTTGCCGATGTTGTCAACGATCACGAACAGATGAAGGGGGAAAAAGGAGGGGGTATAAAAAATAGAGTAACTTTAGAGTAAAGGGTGGTCATCGGGAAAAGATAAGCCTGACAAGGTGAAGTGCTTAGCAAAGACGACTGGAGATGTGAGCTGTTCGAGTGACGGCTTTTGTGGATTGCTTCTTGAGGAGGATCACTGTTTTGCACGATCGGTATCTCTCCTGCCCCGATCCCCACTCCAGATTTTTTTCCTTTTCTTGGTGTTCTGTCGCGGGAGGGCCCGAGGAACGGAGTAGGCTCATTTCCTGCGCCGGCGCTGGCCGGCGCTTGGCCCGCGCTCAGCCTGAGAATGCCGAGCGATATCCCCCCAGGGGGGTTTTCGGCTTGTAAGCTGCGCGTTGTTTTTGGAGGTGGAAATCTGCACTATTGAAAACACCAATTGTCAAGACCTTTTTTTGCTATGAATCACGCACATGTGCTTGATGTGTGTCTCAAATTCGATGAATGTCTCATGGTATTTTAGAAGAAATCTGCTTTAAAGTGTTAACTACAGGAATGCATTTTTTTTATTCTAGAAATTTAGGGTCGTACATGTAAGTGTGACATTTTTCCTGTCCCTGTTACCTTGGTACTTTGTAATTTGCCAATCAAGTGTTATTAAGAAAAACTAAGAAAGTTTTTATTTGTTGGGTACATGTAGGTAGTTTGTTATTCATAATCACTTTTGCATGCTTGGAGTATGACTGCATTAACCCTAACTACCTCAACTCATCAAAATCCAAATGCATGTTTTGTTGGAATCTGTTGGAGTGAGTACTGCACTAGTAAACTGATTAAATGCTTTACATGGGGTTAGGCATACCACCATAATCAGAGTCCAACAGTTTGGGTGTTGAGTTTACCATATGGTGTTGGAGTTTGCAAAAGTGACGAAGGTTCCTAGTAAATCACTCAAGGGGGTTAGGGTTTAACCCTAACTACCCCAACTGAACTCCATCAAAATCCATCCCCCCATTTTGTGGATTTTGGGGGACTTGGTCCAGAAGGCCTGGCATGACTAAATATTGATGGAGTATGATGGACTTGGGCCTAATGGCCTGAAGCAGTGCTAGGGGTATCCGATTGATTTTGCCTAGCTTCCTGTACTGCTATTGTGATAAAAGCCATGTGTAGCAAGTCCATGAATGTCAACCAGTACGTCAGGGGTGGATTCCATTATGTCATGTACAGTTTTTAATTGGACGCACAGTGATTGATGGATTTTGATGGACTTGGTCCAGTTCCTAGTAAAAGACGCTAGGGAGTTACATGTAGGTTAAGGAGTGCATCAACATTATCAAATCATAAATGTCAGATGTAACAGGGACAGGAAAAAACGTGGACCCCAAATTTATAACATGACCATATTGTACACAAATGTTAACTTGTACATAGAACCTGTCCATAATGATAGACAACGGAAAACAATATTGTTTTTTTTTAAGGTGTTGCTTGAAGGAGACGCAGTGCACATGTATACATGTACACATGTTGTATTCAGAAATCAAGGTGCATGTACCGGTATGTATGTAAATTTACAGAAGTAGTTTCATCTCAAAAATGAATTTAATGTCACATTTAGCAATGAGCTCAGTTTAACATCTAAAAAAGAAAATCAGGACTGCAGTTGCCATGGTTACCTTGGATCAGTTCCTTGATGGTCTTCTTGTCCTCGTCCTCCATCAGGTCAAAGCCTTCCAGATCCTCCGGGTCGTCAATCTTCTTGGTCGTGGGCCGCGCCCGCAGCAGTGCCTCAAACATGCACTTGATGTGATGATACTGCTTCATGTCGCCGCCTTCCTCTGAGAACGGGTTGGAGACCAGCTTGGCGATGCGCGCTTCCTTCTTTGCGATGCCCTGCTTGCATTTCTTGCACTTGGAGGTGCCCATTCGGGCGTAGTCGACCGAGTACCGGTTGTCGGCCATTGTTGGGTTTTTCCCTCCGGCTGTAGAATTTGTCCCGCAGAGGGGCTTGGCAGATTTGGAAATGGCTAGAAGTCACTTAGTCTGCTGATGAAAATGAAATTTTGAAAATGAAATTTTGAACTAACAAAAGTACATGTATGTCATAGTCCTAAATTCACACTACACTGGCACAGCTGCGTTCTGCGCCACATCGCGCAGTACACGCCACCAATCTCCATACATGTGCATACAAGTATAAGGATTTGTTTACGAAAATTCAGTAATAAGTAAAAAAAAAAAAATTATTCACCCACTTAAGCCCGCAAAGGTAAACCCCCCCCCCCCCCCAAACAAAAATTATTGCAAAACCATTTCCCTCTATTAAAGCCCACCTTAACATGTAACGTCTATAGCAAAAAGTAATTTGAGGTATTGGACAAAAATAAAATGTATGGACAATTTCATGCCAACAGTCAAGTCAGTTTTTTTCCCAACAATTTTAATCACACCATTTTTCCAAGTACAGGGGATATTATTGGCTGATCTTAAACAGAATTGTTTATATTTTTGTACCTGTTATGGTAACAGAGTCAAAACAAATCACAAAATATACATTTTGAAGAAGATTTTGTTCAATAGTTTACTTCATGTAAACTACGTAATGGTTCATGTTCACGTATGCATGTGCCTCTCGCGAGTAGTCGTAAACAACTCCTTGGAGATTGGTGGCCCGTACTGATCGATGTGGCGCAGAACGCAGCTGTGCCAGTGTAGTGTGAATTTAGGACTATGACATAGTTTTGTTAGTGTTGTGCATGCCTAAGTGAGGATTGTGAACGTTCAATCAATTAAAGGGTGGTAAAAAGAGACCAAAGTCCAAAACTTCATGTGACACTGGAGAAGTGTTTGAGACCAGCCAGCTGGTGTTTTATCAACCGTTTAAGACTGGCCTCGTGACGGGTTCTCGACCAATAGGAATGGGTAAACTGTCTTAGGTATTGATGAATTTGAATTTAAATTAACAAAGTTTCACAAGATTCTCCTGATGAATAAAATATTATTGCAGGCCCCAACTACGAGACAAAAAAATACACTGTACAAATCTGAAGATAATATGCACTTTTTGCACCCACATTAGACATCAGTCTACAGACATGACAGAAGTGCATGTACAATTCAAATCATGTTTTTACTACAGAAATACAATTCAAATCATGTTTGTTCTTCACAAATCTTGTGCCGAGTCGACGCCACCCAGATGTCAAGAAAGCTAACAAAGACGCTACCGTGTAACAACAGTTTGTAACTGTCCGCGTCTGTGTCAGATGGCGCGAGCCTGCCGTCTTCGCAAGCGTTCAATTTAATAAACCGGCCAATTTCGTTGACACGCATCCTGCGGTCGGCTTCACGGCGTCGCTTCTGGCCCGTCGCATCCAATTCAGTCATTCCTTCTGTTCCGCCTCTACTTAATCCCCCCTCCAGTGATAATCCTAGCAAATTGATCATACCAACGCCAGATTTCGGTGCCCTGGAGCCGAGGGGGGGTTGGAACTTAATGAATGGGGCTGCGCATATCAGACATCCACGCAAAAATCTGGGCTAATAAAATTTACCATAAAGAAAAGACGATAAGGCGAGACCGGCTTTTTTTTTCGGGGAATGTTTGAACAGGATGACTGGACAATAAGCTCGCAGCGAGATGCAATTGCCGCATTAGCCGGTGCTCCGTTTTGCAGTCGGTGCACAGTGGTAGGAAGTGATTACACATGTTGAACCGGCATAGTTCGAACAAACTAGCATGCAACATGTGGTAACATTTTCATAAGAAACAACAATGCTGATAATAACATACAAGGGGCTTGATTAGAAAAGATGGCATTAAGGGGCTATAAAAACATATATGGGAAGGTAGTCATATTTGAAAACTGAATCCAGTGGCAATTTTGAAAAAGACCCCCAAAAATCTTCCTCCTTATTTTCAAGGTATTTAGTTTTAATCACTTGTTCATTATAATGCTCTTTACATCAAGTTAATTTGTTTCCCTATTATCCCTGCCTTAATTAGTGAAGTCAGTATTAAGGATTCGAAATTAAAATGTGTTGAATATATTACGCACTGTCGATATCAGAATTTCAATAATCGATATATATATTGTAAATCCAATATCGAGAATATTCGATATATTGATTATCCCATGTAAAAGTTAAAGACCATAAAGATGACACTTTGATTTGAAAAAAAAAACATCGTAAGTGCCCATTTCCCACGGCTTTTTCTGGAGCATATTGCTCAAAACTTTTTAAAACAAATCTCAGCAGTGAGAGTTTGTCCAGAACGGGTGGTTTCTTTTGAGGTTTTACATGGGGGAGACCGCGAATTCCAGCGAACGCAGAGCACAAAGTGATGCCGCTTCGCTTTCCGCGATGTTTTTATTTTGAGTCACAAGCACAAGTCGCCGCGAAGTTTTATTTCATTATACAGCAAACGTTAAACACAAAGTAAAAGCACAAACAGGGCATTTATTTTGACGATAATCTGACGAATTTTTGACATTTTTGATATAATTCCTCAATATTGAAAATTTCGATATTTCGATATGATTAAAAAAAATTGATATCGGCAATATCGATATTAAAATAATATAGAATAATCAAGTAATATCGATATATCAACAGTGCGTAGAATGACTGGTTAAAAAACCCAAGAAATTATAAACTTGTTAAAAATGGCCTTGAATTAAAAAAAAAATTATGAAAACCTTAAATTAAAAAGATGTACGTAAATGTTCACAGGTTGTCCGAGACTGCCCATGGTGTCTCAAAAAACACCTGGACATCTGAATAAAAAAAAACGAAATTATAAATGACTGGTCAGCATCTAGAGTCCCCACTATATTTTATGAGAAAGAACAAAAACAGTTCCTGCGGTTTGCTAGTGGCAGCGACCGGCCCATGCACAGGAAATTACAAATCGGTACCCCCGGGGATCTCCCTACCCCTGGGGATTTGACCACCCAAGGGACAAAGGTGCTCAGGTGAATAAATGCCTATCACCCCCCCCCCCCCCCCCAACCTGAGGGTGTATAAGAGCCACTTCGTTCACCTGCTCCAAAGGAAGTGGGAAAAAAATCTGTCCTGTGCTTGGCCCGATGCCCTTACTAGTCCCCCCAGGAAAAACCTGTCGATAAATGACTGATGCTTTCCCCGGCTCGCCACAAGACACAAGAAGGTGCGTGGTGCGACAAAGAAAAGGGCTTTAAGAAACTGTTTCCAATACAACAAGAATATCTCACAGGATTCTACCGGCACGTAAGTTGTACGTTCCTCACATCCATGGATACAAGTACATCTGACACAGTGCCAAGTTTGTACTGACGGAACAAGGTTGAATACAATCAAATGCTTCGCCACACACCTGCACGCTTTCCTCCTGATGCGAAACGGCAAAAACATCCCCCGGTCAACATTGATTTTTTCGGATGGCCCTGGCAACAAAATTAGCACAATTTCATATTTTTTTGGGGTGCCTGCGTCCACAATGAACTCTTTCCAGGAAGTGCATGATGTAATTAGGACCCACGGTAAGACAAAAGAAGGAAAAAATGGGAACAGGTAAAGGGGGAAGAGAAATTGGAAATTCAATTATTTTAATCTTTGAATTCGAAATTCAATTTTTGTTGTTCTGATTATTGTGGTCTGCATGCATCAGCCACTGTGAAAAGTGTCCACACGTAGTTAACCACGTCATAAATGGTGCAGTAAACGCCAGTGTAGTAAATTTATGCAAAAGTGCAGTGTCCTTGTAAATTGGAAAAAAAAAAATGCGTGGAGTAACTTACAACGCACAGTCAATTTGACCTTGGCTTTCTTACAAGTGTACAATGTACCGTATACATGCACATCGTACAATGTACGTACGGTATATAGAAACAGTAAACAAATTATTTGGTCTGTAAATTGTCAAATGTCCACTTATATTATAATTTCATCCTCTGTAAGATACATGTGAACATGCATACATACTTTTGAACTTCGTTAAAAAAATCCTAAGAAACACAAGTACATGTATTGTAACTTTTAATGCATTTAAGGCCAAGTAAAAAAAAACATCTTTTTTGAAATTCCTTAATTCATATATAGGCCCCTATAATTTGTAAAAGGCCTATATTTTGCATACTTGTTCAATATATTGTCGTTTTCTTTCCAATACAATTGTAGCTACATGTATGGCTCCATGCGCCAACAAAAGAGGTCGCCTTTTTGCCAGTTTTGAAAGCTCTTTGGACAAATCATCAAGAAAATTGAAGTGTCTATCTGCTATCTTGGAAAATCTTGAAAAAGCCAGACAAGAAACTACTTATTTTTTTTTACTCGCTCAAGATGCACTCTCCATGGATGCTCTTCCGAAACGTTTTTTTTTTTTAATTAATTTATTTTTTTACGTATTTGACAAATTTTCAACTTTTATATATTTTTGTGTTGAAATTTAATGAAAAAAATTATCGTTTCAGAGGGTTGAGCGACTAAGTGCCAACCACTGGTTGGTTTTGCCTGGTAACCTACATGTATACAGAAAATATAACCTGGGTACCAGGCAAAACCGACCTCTGGTTGACAAATAGTCGCTGCCCGAACATGGCATTTTGGTCTGGTCGTTGCTGCATAAGGGATTATAGGCTGTGATAGGTGAGTTTTTCCTTGTAATTTTATCGGAAATGGAAAATACCAGCAGAAAAAAAAAATGACCATCCCCTGGCCATGTGACATCCGCATTTTAAGTATGGTTGGTACAAATTAGTTCCAGTTTTCCTAGAGAATCTCCCCGTGTCATGAGCAGTCCTTCATTTAAAGAAAATCCAGGAGAGCTATAAATCGCTCTCCTCAAATATTCGAGGAGAGCCTGCACGCAAAACACTGTACGGCAGGCAGTGCATTGCACTGCGCGCGACTATTACATTGACTGGTTACCGCATTTTCATTATGCCTTCATTGGGACTTAGTGCGCGGCGCAGCGGGAACCAGTCATTGCTGCACTCGCACGTACGGGCCCACGTGTTTTCATGCAGCTCTACGCGATATGCAAATTGTGCACGCACAGTATACAACCGCTTGTACACACACGATCTTATACAGTACGTACGAGCTCGGTGTTCGTTCATTTTTAGCGATGTCCAGCGGCATACTAACGTGAGTTTGGGCATTATACCAACGAAAAATACGTGTAGCTTAAGACTTAAAATCCTTTGCGTTTTTATAACTTCTTATTTTTAAACTTCCCGTGTTTGACGAGCCCTCTTTTGGATTTCTGAGGAGCGCTATTTTTGGCGCTCCTTCGAGACAATCGAGGAGCGCAGTAGGAGCGCCTGCGCGATCGCGCTCCTTAAAAATGAAGGACTGCATGAGCCTAGAAAGCTGGAAATTCAAGCTTCAGTATAGGGTGAAAAAAAGGGGCGTCACGATGCAACACACTTCCATCATGAGAATTTACTTACATTTTATGTACCGCTGCACTGCGCCTCAGAAGTGGTTCAATTTCCAAAGTACCGTACTTTGTGCCCAGTGCACTCACTCTGAAATTTATCATTAGCCTTTGCACCCTTTTATAAAATATAAGGCCTTATACTAGTAATAAAACAGAACCTAATCTATTTTTGTCACTCCTGTAATCAACTGTAAGTTGCACAGGTCAGAACTTGTTATGTCCAAAAATGCAACTAAGGGTACTTCTCCATACAACAATATTACTCACAGCTTCCCATATAATACAGTTATGTTTACTATAGCTATTAATTTTGGGAGCGTACAACTTCATGTACTGTGTGACACATACAGCCGGCCGACAAGCCACGACAAGCTAGCACTGTGAATCATATTCATAATACACAATTTTAACGTGTAGTTCGTGCTCATAACAAGTGATCAAAATTGAATTACATCACATTTTTTTTCAGGAAATAAAGACCCATACTGATTCTCAGAATGCTTTTAGTTTTAGAGCATGATAAAGTAACTTGAAAAGTAAAACGTTATTTATGGAAAGAGCTGAATTCAGTGACACGAACTACACGTTTTTCTCAAACTTGTACCCAAACAAGTACTACACACAACGTGGATTCGGCATGCACAGAAACGCAAATGGAGTTATAGGTGCACAATAAAACTGGCGTTTTGAGCAATTATATGACATATAAAATCCATAAACCAGTATTTCCATATTCTTCAAAGTACAAGCTACGGTAGAATGTGTATAAATATTTGTAGGAAGCGTACTTTTTATGATAAAATTAGTTTCAAACTTGCCTACCTTCCGCCCTTTGTTGTGAACTGCAGGCAGTGCACGAGCAGACGATATTCCTGCTGGTACTCTGCGTTAACGTAATCGATAGGGAAATTGAGTGGAAACCAGTGTAAGAAGGTTGTCTAGTGCCCTGAGATTACAATAATGTGCGTCATAAGGATTTTGCAATAACTAGAGCACCATGCTATTTAGGGTTTCGAAACATCGGTTTCGTTTTGGTATCGGAGTTCATCATTGTAAAACCTTTCATCTAAGCCAGAGGGGAATAATATAAAGTTGGATTTAATATCATTTCGTTGACATTTTCTGAAGAAAAACTGGAACCAATCTTGTACAGAATTTCTATATCAGGGACCAAAAAACCTATTTTTAAATTGAGACCACAAGTCATGGCAAAAACAAACAAAGCCTGATAATCTGCAGCTCGTGCGGTGTATTGTCTACGCGCGTCATAACAGCGACGCCATAGCGGAAAATGAAATTAGAAAATACCTAGTATGATTCAAGGACGCTCAATATCCACTGCCAAATTAAATCTGATAATGTTTACATCAAACAATTATGGCGAAGATACTATGAGGTAATTGTTTTGGGTCGAAAACTGTATTGTTGTTTACAGGAGCGGCGATTTTTGGTAAACACTAGGTGGACATGCGCAGCGGACTAGCAGCATGAGCATTTCAAAAAGTGTGGGGGGGGGGAGGGGTGGACGCCATCTTAATTATTCCAGGGGAATGTTCTATAATGTAAGTATGCACAAGCCAGGCCCCCCCCCCCCCCCCAATCCCCGGGATAACTGCCCATGGTCGTTTTGACTCAAATGAACTCAGTTCATAATACAAGCCTTTCAAAAAAATCTAACACCTTTTTGTATAATCGGTAGGTAGAAAATATGTATTATTATACAGGGTGGTCCACCCCCCCCCTCCGCAATCCATACTTCCAATATCCAGGGACCTTAACCGTTGACATATATGGCTAGGAAATTGTGTTAGAAGGAAATGATATACGAAGAACTCCCGCGATTTGGTTCAGTAGTTTTATTTCCAGCCATGGGCGTCGCCAGGATTTTTTTTCTAGAGGGGGGCAAAGCCCATCCCCCCATCCCTATATTTTCCAGCATTTTCCCGATTGATCATTTTTCGAGGGTGGGCAGACCATTTTCCCCCAACCCATTAAATTAACAATAATATGATTTCGCCCCTCTTTTTCTATATTTCCTGGGTTTTTTCCTCCTTTTTTTTTTGCTTGACCGGGGGGGGGGGGGGGAGCAAGTGCTACATTTTCCACTTTTCGGTAGCACAAGGGGGTATTAGACCGCCTACCCCCACCTATCCCTATCCCCCTACCTCCATCTACCCCCTACCCCCCCCCCCCCCCCCCCGGAAATCAGCCACTGCTTCAACGTGCACGACGGAGAAGCCGATGCATGAAGATTATTCAATTTCAATTTCAGAGGGAGGCAAACCCTTGGAATGAGGAAAGCCCACAAAATCAGGCAGCGAAATGAGAACCCGAACCTCATGTCGAGATTCGAGCCGAGGTCACAGAGGCTGAGGAAGTCAAGAAAGTACCAAGACGGCAACCTCACGATCACACATTCAAGGGTAATTTGAGGGGAGAAGCTGTAAAACTCGACCCATTTATTTTGTAAATGGGTAATGCATTCTATTATTAAATTTGGACCACTTGTTTTCCTGTCCCTGTTACATCTGACATCCTTGATTTTAAGATTTCGAGAGTCCTCCATATCAGGGCAGAAAAAAAATACCTGAGGCCACTTAAGTTACTCAATGTGGTAAAAAAAAAACACCAATATCCTGATAATCTGCAGCTCGTGTGGTGTACTGTTGTTTACGCGCGTCATATCTCTGGCGACGCCATAGCGGAAAATGAAATTGGAAAATACCTTGTATGATTCAAGGACACTTAATATCTACTGCCAAATTAAATCTGATAATGTATATAGCAAACTATGGCGAAGAAACTACATTTATTTGTTGGGTCAAAAAATGCACTGTCGTTTACAGGAGCGGCGACTTCTGGTAAACATTTTCATGGGTGGACACAGGGGACTAGCAGCCCGTGAAATCTGGGGCGGGGGTGAGGTAGGTGGACGCCATCTTAATTACTCCGGGGGGGGGGGCATGTTCAATCATCTAATGTATGCACAGTTGCACCCCCCCCCCCCCCCCCCCCCGTCCCCATCCCGGCCCCGGGATTACCGCCCATGGTCGTTTTGATTTCAAATAAACTCAGTCCAGTACCTCGTTTCAAGCCATTCAAAAAAATCCTAATGCCTTTTTGTATAATCGTTAAAATCGTTATAAATGGGCCAAGCTGTAAAACTCGACCCATTTATGTTGTAAATGGGCAATGCATTCTATTAATTTGGACCACTTGTTTTCCTGTTCCTTTTATATTCTGTCATCCATGATTTTGTGATTTCGATGCACTCCTTAATGCAGTCGTCCTCCAAGAGTGATTATGAATAGCAAACCTCCTACCCAACAAATTAAAAAAGATAATTTGAAGTCATTCTTAATGATACTTGAACGGTAAATTAAGAAGTACCAAGGTAACAGGGACAGGGAAAAAATGTCACATGAATGACTCATGTTATATGTTATCGAGTCGTCCCGGTTCATTTTTAATCAATCGTTTTATTCACTTATAATACTTGTTCAATAAAACACAAGGTGTTGCACAAAAATGAGTTCATGCCAAACATAATCTAATCCATCTTTTATTGTCGCCGTTTTGTTCTATACTTTTACAAACACATCCCTTATTATCTATATATTCGATTGTCCAGTTAAACAATACTTAAAACTCTTGTAACTTCAAGAACTATTTTACATCATAATTCAAGATGAATTGAACAAACGGACAGAACTGATTAGAAGATCGTTGTGGAACTACAGCGGCCTCAGTGCTATCTGCAAAAATGTATTTTTTTCTTTCTCTAATATTTAGTAGGTGATAGTTTTACAAATTAATGGACAAAATAAGGTGCTGAAAATATGGGTTGTATCGGAAGAGTTTATTTCAAAAACGCGACACGTCCATTTTGAAAAAGCTGAAATTTTGCACTACAGAAAATAGTACAACGGCTGTTTCTAAAGTGTATTTTTCGCTTTAATGTACTCTCAAGTTGTTTAAATATACAACAGCCGTCAAATAGTACTTGCTTTTGGGCAGTCAGGAGAGAGAAGGATTGGGAAAAAAATGGCGTACATCGCGCTTTGGAAAAAAACTCTTCTATAGTCAGTACCATTTGGAGAAACCGTTTGAAACTGTTTGATATGATTTGTGTCTTCTTTTCATGAGGCAGCCATGTTTGTTCAGTCACATGATCCCAAAAGAAGACACAAAAGAATAACAAGACGTAAAAGTTGGGTATTTTACTGACATAACCGCAGCGGTCGATTTTCTAAGATATTTGGGAAAGCAACCATTCGAATATTTTTACTAGTCAAAGGTTTTAGTAAAACAAATCTGATGAAATTGACTACTTCCGGGTCACGTGATTCAGAACTTTGGCTCTGTGTAACTTTTATGATCCATATCGGGGTAACTTTGACTTCAAATTACGTTACATGTAAAATCAGTTTCCTCCATTGATCAGTGCCTCCATTAAATTTCTCAGTACAATACAAGGTTGAATACGAAAGTCACTCTTCCTCTAGAGGGCGCCCCAGATCGATATACAATCTCGAGTCCGTCTTCCTCTGGAGGGCGCCCCATCAGGGGGAAAAATGCCATAATATTTAACACCCTTACAGGACAGTACTGATTAATCAGAATGCATGTGAAATAAAATAAACACAACTTCTATTACAATTTTTTTGAGTGTCCCGAAATGCACATTTTAAGAAGCATAAATACATAAATCTACTTTTGCATGTAAATTGCAAGGGGTCGTTTTGATGAAAAATGGAAATGATGATTCTAATATTGGGCGAAATTGTACATTGATTTAATCTCTAGGAAGATGGTAATAACCTTCAGTTAGATCAAAATGGTTGTGATAACTATAATTAAGGGAAAATTATTGAGCAAAATGACAATTCAGATAAATGCAGCAGAAAGAGGTTTTCGTAAACAATTTCACGTTCAACATTCGCACGTGAAATTGGAACGATAGTTTTTTCCTTGACATCTACGGTGCCTAATAAAGGCCAATGCAGCTGTGCGTTCTGAACAAAAGTCCGTGTGCTTATGTTACATAAAGGGTGCAAAGTGGGACATTTTGATTATGGTTGGGAACGGATACCGTCAAAAAAACCAGCTGTGGATTACGAAGGACGCATTTTTCTGCCACATTCGTTTTCTTTTTCTAATGAGATCAGTTTGCTCTGGTTAGAAAACTTGCAGTTTGGGGGAAAGATTCTTTTGAATATAGCTTGTTGGTCACCCTAGAGAATGCTGGCGTTTTACTATCCGAAAGCATTGGTGTCGGTGACACCATCTACATACAGCATGGTAGGGCCTGCTCGACATTCACCAAAGTCCTTTGTGAGTCCTAGATTTCACAAATGACCCAGGTGATCCAGGCTAATCTCCTTTTGGAGAAGAATTACATCGTACCACGATAAAAACAATATATCTCCCATGATTGTCGCCCCTCACCGACCGAATATTACGATTTAAGTTCCAGTTTTGTAGTCCAAAAAGTCCGGTACAGCCATCTCTCTGTATTCTGGTTTGGTCCGCTTCAATCCGGTTGAAACCGGATCGCACGATGGCTATAAATAGATCGTATATCTCTTGCGTGATGATTAGCAGTCGACCAAGCCCCTGCCCTTCCAGAAGTCGGCCATGCATTTGTCTTTCCTGGATCTCCTCTTGGCGGCGTTGGAGGCGCCGTTCATCTCGGCCTGAGCGCGTTTACTGAGACCCTCCTGTAGTATCTTGAGGTACTGTGGCCGGGCGCGGTTCAACAAGCCCATGAAGCCAATACTTGCCTACAACAGAAAACAAAGTAGAAAAGAAAACAGAGAGTTCTTAAAATAATCCTCACTGATGAGTAATGGACCTAATTCTTAAAGTTAGTATATACATGCTTTCCAAAATTTCGATTTTCTCTTCTGAACGAAATTGAAATAAATATAATGTCCTGTAACAAATAAATGTGCTTGTTTGTTTTTGCAGGCCTTTATACAGTATTAAAAAGTCTTTTTAAATGGCGCGCTCCATTTCCAGTTCAGAAATTGGGCACACTATATTCTGAACGAATTAGGAGAGTCCCGCTCTTAATTCAAAAGTTGAAATAAATTATTTGATTAATTGTCGTGGGCCGATTTTTTTCGTGCGATGTCTCATTGGAAAGCTCATAACTAATGTAATGCTAGAAAATTATCAGTTCAATTTGAAAATCTATGTTTCAAGGTGCCACACCCAAAAAGCACGTATACACCAACTTTAAGCGAATGGGGCGCTTTAAAGACCTCATTTTGGTAGATTTTAATCCAACGTAGCGTCGTGGCTACAGCAAAAAAAAACACCATCTTTTACAATCTTCATTTTTCTAAAGATTTCTAGCTAAGTTATTTAACTGCTTCAATAAACGTTTTTATCTAGAGTCCGCTTTTTTTTCAAGTTACAGCGCCCTAAATTGCACAAAAAGTGTGGCCTAGAGCGCGCCCTCAAGCGTTTGTCTAAAAAGATACCACTTTTTTCTTCTCAAGTTCTTGCATAGAATTATTATTGATTTGCGTTTCACCATCCACTTTTCATTGCATACAAACGTACTGAAAGTTTCACGAATAAAAAAGAAGAAGTTTACCCAGAGAAACGGAACGTAGGCCCTATTTTGCGCGTCTTATTAAAAGAAAACCATTGACTGGAAAGTTCACGAACCCACTGCGCGTGCGCGAAGGGAAGTTTATGCACGAGACAGAAAGACCACCATTGAATTGAGTAAACGTGAACATTAAAAGACAGTTACTGATCATAGGGAATAAACAAGGACATCAATTCGGTTTAATGTTGACGTCAGTTTGATGTAATGTCCACATGAAATAGATTAGAAAGCACACACAATTTAACAAGGAAGAAGCAATTTTAGTTAACCGATAAAACTAGACAAATTTGAATTGGCAAATGTCAGTTGGACAAACAAACAAGCAAGAAAGGGATCAGCTGCAACCAACCAACCAACAAAACTAAAGGAAAAAGGACACACAAAAAACCAAAACAATGCAGTAACATTCCTGTACAGGTCTACAACCAACCCCCCCCCCCAAAAAAAAAAATCTCATTCGTGCCTTCAAACGAAAACGACGTGAGCCGAGAACGGATCACTGCCTTAAACACGAGCGAAAATCGCCGCTTTCGTGCGTGTCCCACTTCTTGCGTTTTCCCATCACATTGTTTTACCGTACACATATCGGGGGGAAGATATCAACGGGAAATGTATCGGGTTCGGTTGCTCCACCTACCCGGGGGCGACACCACCACTTAAAATCACGGGAGTGACTTCCGATAGTATTTGCGCAGTCGGGCCGGGCGCCCGATGTTGCAGTTTTCACCCTTCGGCGACTCACAACGGATAAACGAGACGGGTCAAACGCCGCATGTTTTTTTCCTCAATCTGACTTTTTGACACGGGACGAATTTTACGCCACAGAAACCTAGATTTTTGTGGGTCAACTATTTGGACGCGTGGATGTTGAGACAACACTCGCAGTGTTTTAATCCACTTTGACACGATTTCTGTGGACTCGCGAGCTGGCGAGTGGGCTTGAATCGAGAGGGAACATGACGTCCAATCATGTTGCAAATATAAGCTCGAGGAGATGTCGCGAAAAGGACACAGACGTACCGATGGGAGCCCGTCGGCTACCCGATGTGCCCTATAAACTCCCGATATGACTTTTGCCCTTTTCGCCGACAATGCTTACATGTTGTATGTATCAGTCTTAAAACAAAACCCGTTTTTAGCTGCGGGAAAGCAACTCTGTACAAGTACTCATGTTTCCCGTTGGTTGGTTGGTTGGTTGGTTGGTTGGTTAGCAACAAACTTCACCAAATGCCTTTTTTTGGCAATCAATCACCTTGTTTCTTAGGCCCTCGCGCAACAACACGTGCTTAAGGTCTCCACTGACCAGATTTATTGCAGTCGTTGAAACTTGGATCACGAGGTCACTCATTTCGCATTGGGGCCAGCACTGTACTGCACACAAATTGGGTGTTCCACATGCTATAAAACGCTCCATGCACCAACTGACGTTCAACAAAATAATGGGTATCCTTTTCAATTGACAGTCATGACCACGTGAGTAATTGTGCATTAAAAGAACAGACTTTTACATCATGAACATGACTTATGGGCCACAGCAGGGCTATTGGGCCGCAGCCTTCGAGATCATTACGAGCTTGTTTAAGTGCCAAGATCTAGACACAAGTTGAGCGGGGCTCTTAACGCAATTTGATGACTGAAGCTCTGAGGGTGCCTACGGGTAGCAACACCCTTGGGTGACCAAGTTGGTCTCTGAACACCAGGCTTTTGAGTGAGCAGTCATGTAACATACAGGGCAGTGCCGAGAGCGCGAAGCTGATTTTGGCGCCAAAACAGAGGCTCGAGTTCCCGCCCAAACTCTCAACAGAGTGACCTCGTCAGGTTAAAAGGGGGACAACGGATATTCCAACTAATACAATCTCCACTTTTTTTTACTGCACGGAATTTAAAACCGTTTGCAAACAGACATGGCGACTGTCTGGTATCGCCCACAAGCATTGACCAGGAATGAACCGTGTGGAACGTCGCAGGAGGCAAACATTGTCACGAAGACAATTTTTATCCATCTTTTTTTTTTGCGGGAAGTGTCAAATCGGATTAGTAACCAAGACTCCCGCTATGAAATTACAACAGGTTGGCTGGCATTAGGGCCTCCAGTAGTTAAACATAGCTCATATCTTCTTCTTCTTATTTATTCATTTTCATGATGAGTTGGGCCCAACTGTCCCCGTCAAGCATAGTGTTGGAAAGAGATGGACCGCTCATAAAAACGGTTGCATTTCCAAATGCGAGTTATTATTAACAAGTCTTTATTTTCTCGGCACTTCGGTATGTCACGTGTAATCAAGAAACTCATCCACGTGTAAAATTGTTTTGTTTCTTGAAGGGACAAGCAAACTAACATAATAAAGCGCTGGGGATCTGGCCCGACCACAAAAAAAGACTATTTCTGTTCCACCTGTCTTTCGTCTTTATTGGGTTGTCAAAAGCTTTCATATAATTAACACGCATGAGCTGAAACATCTGATAAACGTGGACGACACCAACGCAATTGGCATGGTGAATTCACTCAGGTTCGGCTAGATCAGACATTCTTTGGGTTCAATATTATCATGAAGCTTTTAAAATCATCTTACTATCTTTTTGCTTAACTAGTAACATTAATTCTGGGTACAACTGTTTTTAAGCTCTGGCAGAAGCTTCTTCAAGTCACTTTGGTGTCGGTCGGTCGGTCGGTGGGTCGGTCGCCGACAGATTGACCAAAAATATTTTACAAAAATTGAGCAAATGCCATGCCGTCGTCAGTAAATGCACTCTAAAACTTGTTTGTGACAATTCGTAAAGCTGTTTATGAAAAAGTTGTAAACGGAGGCAAGATATGTGCAGTATTGTTATAGTCACGTGGTATTTTCTGCAGTGGTTGGACGGTATCCAGAAGGAGGCTATGAAATTTGACGAAAAGTATGGTGTTCCATATGTGCCATCGGCGTCGCATTTTTCGCCAGAGCTTATTGTGCACTCGCACTTGTTTATCATAATCTACCAATGTTAAGCCTGTACTTACTTATAATTCACGTAAACACCATTTCAAAATAATAAAGGCATTTGTGATCCAACAGTGCATGATCGCAATAGTTCTTAAACCACATGTAATTGAGAAAACAGCTTTTCGTCTCTGTTTTAAAAGGGCATCCTGATAATTACAATAGCAGGTATTGTCTTGCCAGATGTTTGTCCTTTCTATTTTTATTCATCATTTTGTTCAGTATGAGCAACTTTCTTAATGTTTTTTAAACGTAATTTAACCGCAATTCAGCTTTTGGCTGCTATAGTTGAATAAAACAACAACCATTTCAAATCAAATCAAATCAAATCAAATCAATCCAAATCAAGGGTGCATTAAAATATGTAGTCCGGAAAACATATGTGAAAAATCTTGACTTTTCAGTGTCCGTGTGTAGTATCTTAAAGGTAGAATATATCATTTTGACCCTATCAAAAGGTAACTGACGAAATTATTGTTGAAAAGCACACTTGGTTCAAAGATAGTAATGGCACTAAACTGCCTGTAAAATTATTCTGTTGATATGCTGTCACTTTGAAGAAAGCAGTAAAAGAAGGTCATTTCCTAAAATGCGTCTTAAGACGCATTTTTGGAAATTTCCGTGAGTAGTTCGTTCTTAATTCGGCGAAGCCGTGAATGTATGTGCGCAAGCATTGACACGACGCACACGCGCGCGGTTGCTATAATTCGTCGGTTCATCGCGCGACATCGCGTAGCTGCAATCGGCTGAATGCGAACGTGTTCCGGACGCTGATTTCAGGCGCAATTCAAAACATGACTCGGCAACATTTAAAATAAAATCGAGATCCTAGAATATTGTTTTCTTAGATTATACAGCATTCATTGAGCTAAAACTCCATCAGGTTGTTAAGCAACCTTCTTTAGATTTTGAGCACTTTTGTTGCTTCAAACGTAAAAAAAAAATGCAAATTAATGATATTATACTCTATCTTTAAAGGGCGCGGTTTAATGAGCTTTTCATTGATACCTAATCCACTCATATAAAGACATGGATGACTGAGCACCATTGATTTCAATGTTTAAAAATAATCATCTGCCAAGCTCGGTTGAATCTGAGCATGGAGATGAGGTGTCCAAAATATAACACCGCCACTGTGCTCTGATACTCTAAAAAAAAAAATAATAAAAAATATATAAAG